TTGACATTTTTAGACTTATTTATAGTTAGTCTCATTTTGTTTGTCAGTTAGAGGTTTACATTTTAAACAGTCTACATTTAGAGTTTAGGTGGCCAAAATAAATACTGGGTAAACTAATAGGTAGCTTTTTTTTAAAATCAGGTTGTTATTAACTACCATAGCAACGTGAGTTTTGAGCCCTGGTCTCATTATGTTTGTCAGTTAGAGGTTTACATTTTATATTGTTAGTACCTCAGTTGAAATACTCGATTTTGATTGGTCAACGAGCGGTGAATAATTTTAACTGTACACCGCGCAATGCATTGCCGGTGAATAATATTCCCAGCATTCCACTAAAATGACGTCATTATCAGACGATAAAATGGCCGCCGCTAGCACTAGCCGTTTCAAAAATGTTGAAGATGAGGATATTATTAGTCTCTTAGAGAGTAAAGACAGTCAAAATACGAAGAAAAATCTAAAACTTTGTACAAAGCTTTTAGTGGACTTCGCCCAGGAGAGTAATTTGACTCCATTGAGTGAACTTACTGCCGATATACTGAAATACAACATGAACGTCTCGAGGGTCTGGATCCAACTTTAAGTCAACTTCAAGGGTCAGAAAAATCTAAGATATTCTTCGGACTAACAAAACAATTATAGACCTCTCCATTCGGTTTACTGTCAAAATTATATCCCTCGACTGTAAACCTCGACCTACGGTCTCGGTTTACAGTCTCGGGATATAATTTTGACAGTAAACCTCTGGAGAGGTCAATAATTGTATACAGTCTACCTTTGCATCGGAAATATCTGTTTTTAATGATTGTTAACTTATTTCCACTCAGTAGACTTACTGTAAATTGTCTTGTCTAGAGAATCTTCCGTAAGCCAGCAAAATGTTTATTTAGTGTGCAAGTATATAATCTACCCAGTTTTGGGGTGGTGTAGGGACAATTAATTAGTTTGGGAATTAAATAACCACCCAATTAAACTCTTCATTGAAATCTGAACACCTCTCAATGTGAACACTTTTTCTCAGTCCCAAATACGTTATCTCCCATTGACTTACATGTTTATTAACCCCTGAAATATGAACACTGTCTGTTTTGGCCAGTCCCAGAGGCATTCAGATTGGTCAGGTTTTACTGTATCATGTTGCAGTGTGGGTCATATCCACTCGACAGTAGCCCTAGGTGGATGTACATGTTTAGAGTCGAGTGTAAAATTGAAGTGCCTTGCCACATTGTCGAACATGAAAAACATGAAATTCACCATTGTTGAATATTATAGAACAAAGTCAATTTTAAGTACTTTCATGAACTTTTAACTTCCTTTTTAAAGATCCACACTGATGTTGTTTATTCCAGAGGGAGAAGCTCTACTGTGTAGCTTGATGAGCAAGAAGGCAAGAAAAGTAAGGCACATTGTCCTATGTCTTACACCAATTCAAGGTTTTACTGTGTGTTGTTTGTTTCAGAGGGGGAAGCTCTACTGTGTAGCCTGATGAGCAAGACTGTTATCCATCACTACCACTTCCACAGACCTATACGTGCCATTAAATTCAGCCCTGATGGAAAGTAAGACACATTGTCCTATGTTTTACACCAATTCAACACATAATCCATTTTATTATGTCACTACCAAAGTGGTGACATATTGTAACAATTTTTTGTGACAGCGTTTGGTGTCTGGTCGTTGGAGTTTGGTGTTTGTCATCAGTAACAAATGGCAGGTGGTAAAATTTTGCATGTTAATGCTTAAGCTTTGTTTATTGGGTTCTGGTACAAAACTGTTTTGCTAACTAAAAATTGAGAAACCTGTTCAAGTTTACCCTATAAAAAGTATTTTTTGGCAAAATTTTGGGTGGTCCAGTTATTGATAAAATAATATTTGTTAAATTTTGAGACAACCCCCTAAGATCATTTTATGACAACATTGCTTTTTGGTGTAGGCATTCATATCATAGACCAATATAATATCCAACGATTAGAACAGATGAACTATGGATTTAGCAAGAACCAAGCACCAACATGAATTTACTTGTTGACATTTTCATCCCTTCTAGCAATTTTTTTTCAATATTTGAGGAGATCTGGTAAAAATTGTTTTATTTGGGAAAAACATAAAATATGAGTCCAAATCAATGAGTTGTGCCAAATGCATTACATGGGTAATGCTGTTTTCTACTCATGTCTCAAAAGATGATATATTATATACTATCATAATAATGAAGGATTTAAAAATTAACCAAGTTAACCTCAGTTGATGTTTTTGTTTTAGGAAGTTTGCAGTTACGAAAGAGAACATGGTCCAGGTTTTTCATGCACCTGGCAAATCTCCTGATTTTAATCCATTCAACCTATATCGAACATTCTATGGGGCATATGACCAAACAGTCTGTATAGATTGGACCACTGACTCACAGTAAGTATAACCTCTGAATTCAAATTGTTCAACCTGTATTGAACATTCTATGGGGCATACAGTCTGTATGGATTCAGTAAGAAAATTCTCACAATACAGTTCAATAACATATACACTTTCTAAATATACATCTAAATAGTTAAATCATCCAGAAATTGTAAGAATTGTGAAAATAAATTTTTCTTTCAGAGCTTTCTGTGTGGGAGCCAAGGATATGAACACTCGGGTATACGGGACTCATCGATTTCAAAACCTCATCATTTACTCACTAGGTGGCCACAGTGATTGCATTGTGGGATCATTCTTTGACAACGAATCTCTGGATGTGAGTTATTTCTTTTATTTTTTGAAATTCCCTGTTTAGAACTCTTGTTGATATGAGAGGTCTAGCATATTTTAGTAATTGCAACCAAGAGGACATATTTTTATTTAGGCCATATTTTGTCACATTTAGGTAATATTTTGTCACATTAATACCATATTTTGTCACATTAATGCATTTTTAGTCACATTAACACCATGTATTTATGTTTCAGTTATACACGGTGAGTCAGAATGGTCATGTTAACTTCTGGGAATGTGACACTCAATTAGATGAACTGAAGATTTATGTGGAACCAGAGGAACCATCCTCAGATGAGGAGGATGAGGAGGATGATGTGACTGATAAAAAGAAAGTAAAAACAGGTAAAGTAGATATACAGGGTGTCAAATAAATATGTACAATCTTTTAATTTTAAGTATGACCTGAATCGATTGCAAACTTCATATTTGCACTTTGATGAGATAAACCATTTGTGTCATATTGTGAAAATTATTAAGTTTGCAATTGATTCAGGTCATAGTGTATTTTTGGTATTTTTGTGATAATCAATGGAAACCAATGGCCTCTATTTGGTTGGATCTGCTGATATCCTCATGTTAAGTCAATGATGCACATCCCCATATAAGTCAATACAACCTTACTGAACTAAATGACCCCTATCTCAGCCTATGTGTGCCCGAGGACTTTAATATTTTCCAAAGAGTTATATGACATTCTATTCTTCATGTAACACCTAAGAATTATTCATTTTGACCATGGGGGTATTCGCCAATAAACGCACCTCTTCCTTTAAACTTTGCTTAAAATGGCAGAAAATATATAAATTTTCGAAATTTAGGATACCAATATTTTTTTCAGAAAATTTCCAATACAACTTTTTTAAGTCACGATGAATTAAATCTATATAGTTGAACAATATTTTCAGACTTTGGGGCCTCTAATGATTAATAAAATGACTTTTTAAATCTCTGAAATCATTTATTTATTTGAAGAGATTGAGTTAATCACCTCTTTTAACTATTCAACTCTTTTAGATTGCATTATTGAGAATTTTATCCCTCACCTATTTGCAAGTGACTCCTTCTATGCTAGCTGGGAGAAGCTATTCCTATAATTGTTGATTATTATGCAAATAAAATAGCATTAACCTCCTTGTTATGTTTTCCCATTTCAGATGAAGTTCGACAAGGGGATGAGAACAAAACGGGAAAAGAGCAGATAAAATACAAACGAATAGCAAAGTAAATCACTTCATTTTTCGTAACTCTCTTCTTTTCTTTTGTTGAAGTTAAATTGATCGTGATTTGGTGATGATTTTAATACACTGAACTTTTACCCCAATGGTTATTAAACCCTATTTAAAAATACATTACATTTGATAGTTCTGCTTTGAAATGACTTGATACATCATTCACTATTTGATGCTTTGTCTGTATATTATTAATGTTGCAAGTTAACTATTCTTTTATATGTATAATTTAAGTACAACATAGTACTATAGTATGTGCTATATGCATAACGACTTCAAAGTCTGATTGGATGAATTATATTTATATTTCATGAACAAAACTGTCAAGACATTTTGAGAGCACAACATCATGAAAGCCCAAAATTGCTTTGTCTGAGATTGTTTTCTTTAATTATTGTTTATAAGGAAAATTCATGCAGTGATGACTCTTGGTAACTTTACTAACCCCCCCATGGTCCTTTATTTTAGGCATAACTTTAAAGCAGCCAGGGGTGAAGGTGCTGGGTTTGCTAAACTCATGTCCGTCGACTACCATAAAAGAACACATATCCTCGTAACAGGATTCCAAGATGGAGCATTCTTTCTTCATGAGATGCCTGACTTCAACATGATACATTCACTCAGGTAGAGAATATTTGTTTCACATTTCAACATGATACACTCACTCAGGTAGAGAATTTGTTTTACAATTTCAACATGATACACTCACTCAGGTAGAGAATAATGTTTCACATTTCAACATGACACACTCACTCGGATAGAGAATATATTTCACATTTCAACATGATACACTCACTTAGGTGGAGAATTTGTTTCACATTTCAACATGATACACTCACTCAGGTGGAGAATATGTTTCACATTTCAACATGATACACTCACTCAGGTAGAGAATTTGTTTCACATTTCAACATGATACACTCACTCAGGTAGAGAATATGTTTCACATTTCAACATGATCCACTCACTCAGGTAGAGAATAATGTTTCACATTTCAACATGACACACTCACTCGGATAGAGAATATATTTCACATTTCAACATGATACACTCACTTAGGTGGAGAATTTGTTTCACATTTCAACATGATACACTCACTCAGGTGGAGAATTTGTTTCACATTTCAACATGATACACTCACTCAGGTAGAGAATTTGTTTCTCATTTCAACATGATACACTCACTCAGGTGGAGAATTTGTTTCACATTTCAACATGATACACTCACTCAGGTAGAGAATTTGTTTCTCATTTCAACATGATCCACTCACTCAGATAGAGAATTTGTTTCTCATTTCAACATGATACACTCACTCAGGTGGAGAATTTGTTTCACATTTCAACATGATACACTCACTCAGGTAGAGAATTTGTTTCTCATTTCAACATGATACACTCACTCAGGTGGAGAATTTGTTTCACATTTCAACATGATACACTCACTCAGGTAGAGAATTTGTTTCACATTTTAACATGATCCACTCACTCAGATAGAGAATGTGTTTTACATTTCAACATGATACACTCATTTAGGTAGAACAAGAACAACGGTAGGGGTTAAAAGTGCAGGTCTTAACTGTTTTTCGAAATACCGTTTATGTAACGTAAGTGATATGAGGAATTGAATCGACGATTCCGTTGTCTTATGAGCTATTTTGTTGCAATCATGTCCATTTTCTAAAACATATGATACTGATACACGTTTTTGAGAAAAAATGTTGTGGGAAAAAAGAAAAATCGTACCTTCGACGTTCCGACATTTTGTTACCGAAACAGTTCCAGCGTAATCGAGTGGATCACCAGTGAATAAAGAACCTCATCTATACCTTGTCACTCTGTAGAGGGTTGTCCTTTAAGAGTGGTTCTATGTGATTTGATAATCATATAATAATGAAATATATCAATAAAATTTAATAATTTTACTTCCTCCTGATATCATCTGAAAAATAATGGTAGTCAGTGTTAGATTTGATTCTACTAATTAATCCTTTGATACTATTGTTTTTTAACACAAGTGCCACTCTGTTTGAATTTTCTGTGACTTCAAACAAACTTCCTGTTTAAAAAACTCAACTGACATGCCCATGTTTTACAACATGTAAGCCCCTTGTATTTGACATAGTGACATAACAAACATTGTCAAACAATGTGTTATGTTTGAAAAAACAATGGCAGACAGGTGTAATGTTTGGCAAACATTGGCCAACAAGTATAAAATCAGAGCAAAATGTTGTAATCATTCAACAACTGAGCAAGCAAAGCACACACAGCTAGCAAACAATCTTAGAAGTTGAAATTATTTGAAACAATAAAGGAAACAAAATGGAAACATTAAAACTTATGAGCTACCAAGTCAACTATATCTCCAGAGAGGGACTCAGTAATGCAGGATTTGGTGATTTGAACAGTTATGGACCAAAAATTACTGAAATAGATGACAGTTGTCGTCAAATTAGTGATTTTAGCAAATATGGAACAAACAACATACCAGCTGCCTATCGTGGCCTCGTAGCAACAGAAGACTCTCTGACATCACAGATGATATCACCAGTACTTAGCCAATCAGACAACAGCTTACAACAAAATGGCTGCAGTATGCTGCAGACATCACCTGATACTCGAGAAGGATCCTTCAAAAGTTGCACACCATCTCCATCTATTGGAAGTCTCATATCATCACCAACACCACCTATTGAGCAAGTCAGCAGCCCAGGCAGTCCAGAAACAGTTATCAGTGACATTGATGAAGTGCTCAAATCCCTTGAGAACACAGCTAAAGGTGGCGCCTCTAAAGCTGAGAAACCTCATCATTCATATGTTAAACTTATCGTTGATGCTATACTTAGCAAACCAGAAAAGCATATGATCTTGGGTGACATCTATCAATACATTCAGGATAATTTTGAATACTACAACAATGAGGAGCGAGCTTGGAGAAACAGTATCCGACACAACCTATCCCTGAATGAATGCTTCATCAAAGCAGGACGTGCTGATAGTGGGAAAGGTAACTATTGGTCAATCCACCCTGCATGCATCAAGGACTTTTCTAGGGGGGATTATAGGAAACGTAATGCCAGACGTCGTGCTAAGCGTGGTGCAAGGGGTCTTCAAGCACAGCAGCCAAGTACACCATACCCTTACCGCCAGTATGTACCCATGTCTTCAGATACAGTCAGCTACCCTACTCCAATACCGTATCCCTACCAGATGCCCACAGTTCCGCAGATGCCCCCACAGCCTCACCTACAAGCACCTTCCATTGGTTACTTGGGTAAATACCAACAACCAATGACAGCAGCTTATGGTCAACAAGTCAGCATGCCTGATCCTCTTACTGCAGCTTACAGTTCACAACCAAGAGCCACCATCAGTTATGAGCCTCAGACATCAATGACAAATATGGACCTCTATAGACCACCTTATAATTACCCATCAGGCAACAGTGGTTACCATAGCAATGCTTCTATGATGCATTACCCAGCAATCAACCAAGGTCATTAGTATCCTCAGGTTTAAACTAAATAAAGAGAGCCAATAACTAACATCGGAAGTAAATTATCTTTTAATTATTGTATCAGTTGTATTTTCATTTATTAATTATTTTTCTATTGAATGTATAATGTAGCCATCTTTTGGTTTTAAAAAGAGACCTACAATTTTAAACTGCCAAGAAAGCCAAATTAGAAATTGTATAAAGCCACATGTACATAAAACTGTAGTATGTAGTTGTGTGTATTAAATAAATATAAAATAAAAAAATATTTGTTGTGTTGTTTTACATTGACTTGATCCACCATTGTATAACATATGACTTAAAACGGAATATTCTGGTAGAAAAGTATGTGTTAAATAATCTCTACATGTTATAATAATGTTATCTATCCATTTTGCTATGTGGTCTTTGCAGCCTCAGGCCCGCTCCATATAGACTTCAGCACATCTAAGGCATGTAGAGGATTGTGAAGTGTGGTGAGGAAAACCTGATATAGACAGCACCAAACTTGATCACTTTTTGCAAGCTCCAAATGATCTTCACATAGCTCACTCTCATAGGAGTCATTGTTACCACCCTACTGTCCACATATTTGATGTACCTGCAACTTAATTTCCCTTCCAAAATGTCCCTACCATCAGTTCGTATGAACTTGTACGATTTTATAGGTTAGAAATAATATCATGAAATTTTTGTTAAGATGACCACCACTTTTGTTGTAGAAAGATCAATTTTTACCGCTAAAAATTTGTTATATTGACGTCTTATGCTGATGGGCGTGTGAATTATCTTGGTATGGGTAGAGACCAGAAAATAATTTAGGCTTAGTCAGGCCCGTAATACCTTTTCTCCAAGGGGGGTGCGGTTCTTACTAAAGAGAATATAAAATTGTCAATTTTTTGCCACTTAAATCAAATCGCGTAGGCCACTCAGCCTATTTTGTAGTGTTTTATTGTTTTGAATTGTTTTTAGACTAAATATTGTATGAGCAATTTGAAGAAACATTTGAATAGAGGTAGGGTGTGCTAAAAAGGCATAAATGTTCACCCTAGAACTTTTTGCCAGTTAAAGATCACATTCAGTGATTTCTGGACACTTTTAAGTGTTTTAATCAATAGAATTAATTTAAAGAAATTCAGATTTTTTCAATCATTTCCTTCTAAGGGGAGCGAGGGGGCAGCACAGAAACATTCTACGAATTCAAGATGCTGTCTGGTTAATTCTGAGCACTTTTAATGTGTTTGAATAAATGAATGCTTTAGTTTTTGAAGTGGGGTGCTAGAAATTTTTATGATTTCATTATGTCTCTTGGTGATTTCTGGGCACTTTTAAAGCGTTTCTAATTATTTTTTAGGCCCACTCCGCCTAGAAAATTTTACAGTTTTGAGATGCTATTTGGTGCTTTCTGGGCACTTTCAATAAAAAAGTGAATTTCTTCTTTTTTTTTTTTTTTGGGGGGGGGGGTGTCAAAGAGGATGAGAGGGTGAGGTGGGATGGGATGGGGTGCCAGAGGAGGAGCAAGGGGTTGTCCCCCAGATACATTGACCATATCAAGGTGCTATTTGATGATGTCTTGGCACTTTAAAAGTATATGAAATTCAGCATTTTTCAATAGGATAGTTTCTAAATAGCAGAAAAATCAATGAAATCTCGTGCTGCCATCTTTTAATCAGCTTTTAACTTGGGCTAGAGCTCCATTCATTTACATGCTAAAATCTTGGAAAAGTGGCTTAATTTCATGATTTATCAAAGTGTGTTTGTTGAATCTGTATAAAACTTGAATGATATACCACTTGATGACCCTGTTCATGTACATGTTGTGATTAAACATGCAAATGTTGATTGACATACAAATAATCCACTGATTTAAAGAATTTTAGCATTGAATCTATGGACATTTGGCCCAAGTTTTTTTTATTTGTTATAGAAAATTATTCAATTACATAACTGTGTAAATCAAAGCTATTATAGGAGAAAACATTTCACTGAATTCAAATATGCCATTTAAAAGAAGGTAATGTAAGTCATTAGAGGTCTAATATGTCAATCTCTTAAAATCCCACGAAAAACGAGATTTAGCGAGATTTCAAAAGCTATATGGAAACTATACTATTGTTTTGTTGGGAATGTGAGGGGTGACCAACTCTCCTTGAAAAATTTACAATTTCAAGATTATATTTGGTGCTTTCTGGTCACTTTCAAAGTATGTGAGTTGAGTGTGTGAATTTTCAAAAAAAAAAATTCAAGTCAAAGGGGGTCCATCGCACAACACCCCCTCCCCCCCCCCCCCCTATCTGACAGCCCTGTTATTGATAAACTTGAAAGAGGTCAAATACTGGTAGCTCAGGAAATAGGTTTCCAAAAGTATCAAAAAGCATAATTTAGGTTCTTTCAGCACATACTTCATTATTTTCCTTTGACTTCCTTGTTAAAAGAAACCTTGAAAATCCAAAATACATGTCTGAGATAAGCCTGCTGTGTCTTTTCTATCTTGGCCTTAGTTTTCTTATTTTCTCAAGCTTTCAGATTTCCAAATCTAATGTAGGCTCTGGTAGATGGTTTTACACTCTATACTGTTCTTAAATATAGTTTATAATATCATTTGCCTGGTGAAATACACGATTGTAAAACCTATCAGTACTAGTACATGTATTATTATAGATTGCCATGTTTTGAAAGGTGACTGACCACACCCACTTTTGAAGATGTTTTGGCACAACAAAGTTGTCTTATAATTTGCAACTGGTGTCTTCCATTAATGATTTGCACATTTCAATAATATGGGCTCAGTATACGGATATTGTCTAAATATAGATTTATGATGTAAAGACACAAGAATGTCATTTTAACCTATGTCAATAAAATGGCTTAAAAGAGGCAATGGAAACAAGCATTTTTACTCTAAATGTCACATTTTCTAAAAAAAACATCCCAAAACTTGAAAACATGATAAAACTAAGTAAAAGATGTGAGACTCTTAATGATTCTAAAATAAGTTATTCTTTTAGGTAAAAGTTCGAAAATAGGTGGCGCCACTACACCTTACTTCAAATTTTGACCTAATTCCTAGCCAAATCCACCTCAAATAATTTTTGCTCATTCCCTTTTATGTTTGCCATGAAATATTATTGGTATTTTTCTTATATTTTCCGCTAACCTTCGTTAAAAAAATATTTATACCCCCACCCCCATGTTTGAAAATAAATAGATGGCGTCACTTTAACTGCCCAGAGCGAATTCACTTACCACACATTTTTACTCCACCTAAGATAAATTTACTAGAGAGAGTGTCTGGAACAAAATTATACCCTCAAACTTTTTTTCCCAGTCGAGTAACGAAATCGGAGCTAAGGGACAGCAACAATAGTCAGTACTGTAGCTGTGTTTTTTGTTTTTGTCATTTCTTTGCATTATTTCTTTCTTTGTTTTGGTTTTTGATAGTGTAGCTTATGCTCCTAAATGAATAAGTAGTCTTAGATCAAATGATTACCATACAAGAATAAAGAACTTCATCTATACCTTGTCACTCTGTAGAGGGTTGTGATGATGATACGATATACAAATAGAAATTAATAATTTTATTACCTCCTGATATCATCTGAAAAATAATGGTTAGATAAGTGTTAGATTTGATTCTTCTAATTAATCCTTTGATATTATTGTTTTTTAACACAAGTGCCACTCTGTTTGAATTTTCTGTGACCTCAAACAAACTTCTTGTTTAAAAAACTCTGACTCAACTGCCCATGTTTTACAACATGTAAGCCCCTTGTATTTGACATAGTGACACCACAAACATTGTCAAACAATTTGTTATGTTTGAAAATACAATGGGAAACAGGTGTAATGTTTGGCAAACATTGGTCAACAAGTATAAAATCAGAGCAAAATGTTGTGAAAATCATTCAACAACTGAGCAAGCAAAGCACACACAGCTAGCAAACAATCTTAGAAGTTGAAATTATTTGAAACAATAAAGGAAACAAAATGGAAACATTAAAACTTATGAGCTACCAAGTCAACTATATCTCCAGAGAGGGACTCAGTAATGCAGGATTTGGTGATTTGAACAGTTATGGACCAAAAATTACTGAAATAGATGACAGTTGTCGTCAAATTAGTGATTTTAGCAAATATGGAACAAACAACATACCAGCTGCCTATCGTGGCCTCGTAGCAACAGAAGACTCTCTGACATCACAGATGATATCACCAGTACTAAGCCAATCAGACAACAGCTTACAACAAAATGGCTGCAGTATGCTGCAGACATCACCTGATACTCGAGAAGGATCCTTCAAAAGTTGCACACCATCTCCATCTATTGGAAGTCTCACTCCATCGCCAACACCACCTATTGAGCAAGTCAGCAGTCCGAGCAGTCCAGAAACTGTTATCAGTGACATTGATGAAGTGCTCAAATCCCTTGAAAACACAGCTAAAGGTGGCGACTCTAAAGCTGACAAACCTCATCATTCATATGTTAAACTTATCGTTGATGCTATACTTAGCAAACCAGAGAAGCGTATTATCTTGAGCGACATCTACAAATACATTCAGGATAATTTTGAATACTACAACAACGAGGAGCGAGCTTGGAGAAACAGTATCCGACACAACCTATCCCTGAATGAATGCTTCATCAAAGCAGGACGTGCTGATAGCGGGAAAGGCAACTATTGGTCAATCCACCCTGCATGCATCGAGGACTTTTCTAAGGGTGATTATAGGAAACGTAATGCCAGACGTCGTGCTAAGCGTGGTTCAAGGAGTCTTCAAGCACAGCAGCCAAGTACACCATACCCTTACCGCCAGTACGTACCCATGTCTTCAGATACAGTCAGCTATCCTACTCCACTGCCGTATCCCTACCAGATGCCCACAATTTCGCAGATGCCCCCACAGCCTCATCTACAAGCGCCTTCCATTGGTTACTTGGGTAAATACCAACAACCAATGACAGCAGCTTATGGTCAACAAGTCAGCATGCCTGATCCTCTTACTGCAGCTTACAGTTCACAACCAAGAGCCACCATCAGTTATGAGCCTCAGACATCAATGACAAGTATGGACCTTTATAGACCACCTTATACTTACCCATCAGGCAACAGTGGTTACCATAGCAATGCTTCTATGATGCATTACCCAGCAATCAACCAAGGTCATTAGTATCCTCAGGTTTAAACTTTGGACAATAAAGAGAGCCAATATCAAACATCGGAAGTAAATTATCTTTTAATTATTGTATCAGTTGTATTTTCATTTATTAATTATTTTTCTATTGAATGTATACTGTAGCCATCTTTTGATTTTAAAAAGAGACCTACAATTTAGAGGTCGCAACGGTACTGAAAACCAGTACCGGTAACCGTCACGCTAATAACCGTACCGTTACCGAAATACCGGTAAAGATATGTAAGATAAAATGCCAATGCGCTGCCGACCCCACTTTGTTCCTAACTCTCTCCATAGCTTCTCAAGTCTATGCATACATGGTGCAAGACCGATTTGAACCCATACTGATGAACTTCACGAAATAGTATGTAACTATCTTACGAATCAAGATGTATTTTTAGTTTTAAACTAAATGTATTACACATAAGTCATTTCAAACCATTTCTCAACTGTATCAATAGCAAGCGACGTGCAGTATACATGGGGGTGGGTAGGTAAAATAGATTTTATTGATTGTCTTGAGTTCTGGAAAGTAAACGGAGGAAAATATCCTGAATTGGCGAGTTTGGCTGAAAAATATCATGCTATTCCTGCGTCATTCGTGTCAAATGAACGCCAGTTCAGTGCAGCTGGCAACACCATCACTTCCAAACGGGCACGACTTCAGCCTGAGGTTGTCAATGCCTTGTTGTTCGTAAATGACTATTACAACATAATTCAGTTTCTTGATCTGACGTTGACACAACAACTACACCGGAACTGCCAAACATGCATAACTACAACCAAATCTGAGCCTGAGCATGAAGCTACTACACCCGAACTGCCAAGCATGGACATCACACCTGAACTGCCAAACATGGAAATCACACCTGAACTGCCAAACATGGACATCTAAATGTCTATGTAAATGTACGCATCGTGAAAGTGGAAATTAAACGAAATAATTAAAAAACGACGTGTCTTTTATTTCCCCGGGGATTATCCTATTATCCTTATATTTCAAAACCGGTAAATGCTCAATTTAGTACCGAAACCGTATAACCGGAATTACCGTCAGCCTCTACTACAATTTTAAACTGCCAAAAAATTCAAAATTGTATAAAGCCACATGTACATAAAACTGTAGTATGTAGTTGCATGTATTAAATAAATATATAAAAAAAAAATTTGTTGTGTTGATTTACATTGACCTGATCCACAATTGTATTACATATGACTAAACGGAATATTCTGGTAGAAAAGTATGTGTTAAATAATCTCTACATATTATAATAATGTTATCTATCCATCTTGCTATGTGGTCTTTGCAGCCTCAGGCCCGCTCCATATAGACTTCAGCACATCTAAGGCATGTAGAGGATTGTGAAGTGTGGTGAGGAAAACCTGATATAGACAGCACCAAACTTGATCACTTTTTGCAAGCTCCAAATGATCTTAACATGATAGCTCACTCACATAGGAGTCATTGTTACCACCCTACTGTCCACATATTTGATGTACCTGCAACTTATTTTCCCTTCCAAAATGTCTCTACCATCAGTTCATATGAACTTGTACGATTTTATAGGTTAGAAATAATATCATGAAATTTTTGCAAAAAAATCTTATTTTATGTTAAGATGACCACCACTTTTGTTGTAGAAAGATCAATTTTTACTGCTAAAAATGTGTTATATTGACATCTTATGGTGATGGGCGTGTGAATTATCTTGGTATGGGTAGACACCAGAAAAATAATTTAGGCTTAGTCAGGCCCGTAAGACACTTTTCTCCAAGGGGGTTGCGATTCTTACTTAAGAGAATACAAAATTGTCAATTTTTTTGCCACTTAAATCAAATCGCGTAGGCCACTCAGCCTATTTTGTAGTATTTTATTGTTTTTGTATTGTTTTTAGACTAAATATTGTATGAGCAATTTGAAGAAACATTTGAATAGAGTGAGGTTGTGCTAAAAGGGCATAAATGTTCACCCTAGAACTTTTACTAGTTCAAGATCACATTCAGTGATTTCTGTACACCTTCAAGTGTTTTAATCAATAGAATTAATTTAAAGAAATTCAGATTTTTTTTAATCATTTCCTTCTAAGGGGAGCGAGGGGGCAGCACAGAAAATTTTTACTAATGCGAGATGCTGTCTGGTTAATTTTGAGCACTTTTAATGTGTTTGAATAAATGAATGCTTCAGTTTTTGAAGGGGGGTGCTAGAAATTTTTATGATTTCATTATGTCTCTTGGTGATTTCTTGGCACTTTTAAAGCGTTTAAAATTAACAAATGCAACTTCCAATCTTTCCAATTCTTTTTTGGGGGGTGTAAGAAGTGGGCCACTCCGCCTAAAAAATGTTACAGTTTTGAGATGCTATTTGGAGCTTTCTGGGCACTTTCCACTTGGGGGGGGGGGTGTCAAAGAGGATGCGAGGGTGAGGTGGGGTGGGGTGCCAGAGGAGGAGCAAGGGGTTATCCCCCAGAAACATTGACCATATCAAGGTGCTATTTGATGATGTCTTGGCACTTTAAAACTACATGAAATTCAGCATTTTTCAATTGTTTTGTTGGAGATGTGAGGGGTGACCAACTCTCCTTGAAAAATTTACAATTTCAAGATTATATTGGGTGCTTTTGGTCAAATTTTTTTTTTTGGGGGGGGGGGGGTGTCAAAGGGGGTCCATCGAACCCCCCCCCCCCCCCCTATCTGACGGCCCTTTTATTGATAAACTTGAAAGAGGTCAAATACTGGTAGCTAGGTAGCTCAGGAAATAGGTTTCCAAAAATATCAAAAAGCATAATTTAGGTTCTTTCAGCCCATACGTCATTATTTCCCTTTGACTTCCATGTTAAAAGAAACCTTGAAAATCCAAAATACATGTCTGCTGTGTCTTTTCTATCTTGGCCTTAGTTTTCTTATTTTCTCAAGCTTTCAGATTTCCAAAGCTAATGTAGGCTCTGGTAGATGGTTTTAAACTATATACTGTTCTTAAATATAGTTTATAATATCATTTGCCTGGTGAAATACACGATTGTAAAACCTATCAGTACTAGTACATGTTTTATTATAGATTGCCATGTTTTGAAAGGTGACTGACCACACCCACTTTTGAAGATGTTTTGGCAAACAAGTTGTCTAATAATTTGCAAATGGTGTCTTCCATAGTTCTTAAATAAAACACAAAATGCTCATCAATACTGGCTACTGAGATACATCATCAGTAGTCTCCCTTCCTCGGATTTTAGGGGCTATGCAATGGGGCTTTGCCCATACTTAGACTATATCCGATTATTATTTGGAAGGTGCCCCCAGCAGAGGTTAAACCTCCACCTGTATCTCTAACGGTTGCCATAGATGGTATTTGCCTACTGTAAAGATACTGGTATTAGAATAACTCCTCGTTGGTGCTTTGTCAGTTGGTAGATGTTTCTTTCTCAGCATTGAATACTGTTCTGTTCTGCATGCAGTAGGTCCATAGCGTGAGGGTCAGAGCCTCTGTGGGGTTCATCCTGACCGAGTCCCTCTACAGACCACGTAACTATTAAATCACTGCGCTGCTACATCTCGAAAAGAAATCTGTATTACAGACCCAAAGGTATACCATGGCGTGTTTCGTACATCCGTCAGGTCCTTCTGTATAGGAGAATAATACGATCATTCATGCAGAGCGATTCGAGATCAGCCTGTATCACACATCCCTTACTGCATGTTCTTGTGCTCTGGTCTTTCCCAGCTGACCCTCCGTCTTTTCCAGAGTGCCAAGTGGTCTTTCCCACATGTCAGTTGGCCTTTCCCAACCGTCATAAAAAATAAAGTTCATAAATAAAACACAAAATGCTCAATGATTTGCACATTTCACTAATATGGGCAAAACATTTCACTAATATGGGCTCAGTATACAGATAGTGTCTAAACATAGATTTATGATGTAAAGACACAAGAATGTCATTTTAACCTATGTCAATAAAATTGCTTAAAAGAGGCAATGAAAACAAGCATTTTTACTCTAAATGTCACATTTTGGATGGAGGGGGGGGATCACGTGTATATAAGACATGATAAGACATGCTACTTGAATTTATTCTTATGACTCTAAATTTTCCCATTTTTCATTCTCCAGAGATATAATATCCAGTTCCTTACTGGGGTTCTGAGTTTAGTTTTTTCAAATACACGAGTTCTTGTGAATTTGTTCCATCGTAAAGACATATAAATCCCCCCTCCATCCACTCCCCTCCATCCACTATTAATTTATTTCGATTATTTTTGGTATAATGCATGGAAACTAACTTTAAAAAGTGAGAATTGTCATTAGTGTTGTGATAATAATGTCCCTAATACCTATTTATTACAGGTCGTGTAGACCATTGTTGCCCGATTTATAGCAAAAACATTGACTTTTGCATGTTGGTGATGATGCACCTTTTTTAATAGATCTCATGTCTTTCAAGGGTATCAGTTCAAAAAAAATACTAGATGACCTAACATCTTTTGCCATGCACTGCGCCTATTTATTTGGCAATTCAGTTTTAAATTTTCTCTTGAAAAAAAAAATCTTCAAAATTTGTTGAGTTTTCTTGCAGAAATCGCCTAATCCCCCCTCCATCCATTTTGTACGATCACTGGGCATGTAATTAATCCTCCAATATTATTGTTTTTAACACAAGTGCCACTCTTTTTGAATTTTCTGTGACCTCAAACAAACTTCCTGTTTAAAAAACTCACCTGACATGCCCATGTTGAAAAAACAATGGGAGACAGGTGTAATGTTTGGCAAACATTGGCCAACAAGTATAAAATCAGAGCAAAATGTTGTGAAAATCATTCAACAACTGAGCAAGCAAAGCACACACAGCTAGCAAACAATCTTAGAAGTTGAAATTATCTGAAACAAGAAAGGAATCAAAATGGAAACATTAAAACTTATGAGCTACCAAGTCAACTATATCTCCAGAGAGGGACTCAGTAATGCAGGATTTGGTGATTTGAACAGTTACGGACCAAAAATTACTGAAATAGATGACAGTTGTAGCCAAATTAGTGATTTTACCAAATATGGCACAAACAACATACCAGCTGCCTATCATGGCCTCGTAGCAACAGAAGACTCTCTGACATCACAGATGATATCACCAGTACTTAGCCAATCAGACAACAGCTTACAACAAATTGGCTGCAGTATGCTGCAGACATCACCTGATACTCGAGAAGGATCCTTCAAAAGTTGCACACCATCTCCATCTATTGGAAGTCTCACACCATCGCCAACACCACCTATTGAGCAAGTCCGCAGCCCAGGCAGTCCAGAAACAGTTATCAGTGACATTGATGAAGTGCTCAAATCCCTTGAGAACACAGCTAAAGGTGGCGCCTCTAAAGCTGAGAAACCTCATCATTCATATGTTAAACTTATCGTTGATGCTATACTTAGCAAACCAGAAAAGCGTATGATCTTGGGTGACATCTATCAATACATTCAGGATAATTTTGAATACTACAACAATGAGGAGCGAGCTTGGAGAAACAGTATCAGACACAACCTATCTCTGAATGAATGCTTCATCAAAGCAGGACGTGCTGATAGCGGGAAAGGCAACTATTGGTCAATCCATCCTGCATGCATTGAGGACTTTTCTAAGGGAGATTATAGGAAACGTAATGCCAGACGTCGTGCTAAGCGTGGTTCAAGGGGTCTTCAAGCACAGCAGCCAAGTACACCCTACCCTTACCGCCAGTATGTACCCATGTCTTCAGATACACTCAGCTACCCTACTCCAATGCCGTATCCCTACCAGATGCCCACAATTTCGCAGATGCCTCCACAGCCTCATCTACAAGCACCTTCCATTGGTTACTTAGGTAAATACCAACAACCAATGACAGCAGCTTATGGTCAACAAGTCAGCATGCCTGATCCTCTTACTGCAGCTTACAGTTCACAACCAAGAGCCACCTTCAATTATGAGCCTCAGACATCAATTACAAGTATGGACCTTTATAGACCACCTTATAATTACCCATCAGGCAACAGTGGTTACCATCGCAATGCTTCTATGATGCATTACCCAGCAATCAACCAAGGTCATTAGTATCCTCAGGTTTAAACTTTGGACAATTAAAGAGAGCCAATAACCAACATCCGAAGTAAATTATCTTTTAATTGTTGTATCGGTTGAATTTTCAGTTATTATTTATTTTTCTATTGAATGTATACTGTAGCCATCTTTTGATTTTAAAAAGAGACCTACAATTTTAAACTGCCAAGAAAGCCAAATTCAAAATTGTATAAAGCCACATGTACATAAACCTGTAGTATGTAGTTGCATGTATTGAATAAATATAAAATAAAAAATTATTTGTTGTGTTGATTTACATTGACCTGATCCACCATTGTATTACATATGACTTAACAGAATATTCTCGTAGAAAGTATGCGTTAAATAATCTCTACATATTAATGGTAACGCTATCTATCCACCTTTCTATGTAGTCTTTGCAGCCTCAGACCCACTCCTTACAAAAGATAATAGTTCTAATAGACTAATACACGATAGACAAAAACTTGGTCATTAACATAAATATCTCCCACAATGCATCACTTTGAGTGGGACAAATTTTCATTGGTCCCTTGATTAAACCAAATTCTCCCAACCTTAAAACCATGTTTTGCGTATTGTCTGGACGATAAAGGTCATACTAAATTTAAGTTACAACCCTCACAATTGATATAAGTCAAACATATATAAACCTATATTTTTATCGATTGTGCAAATATCCGTGAAGAGGAATGTCAAATAATGCTGAAATATTGTATCCAAAACGGACTCAGTATATTTCAATGGGGAAAAAACCTGGATGTAAAAAATCTGTTCCCGGAATTCTAGGGGAGGTTAGAATATTGTTGTCATCCTGAACTATCGGGTACACCTCTATTGACCTAATCAACCATTATGACTGAATGGAATACATGTATTGTGCTAGAAAAGTATGTGTTAAATAATCTCTAGATATTATAATAATGTTATCTATCCACCTTGCTATGTGGTCTTTGCAGTCCCAAACATACTCCATATCAAAACCAATAGTTCTTAAAGTCATGTCTTCTGATATAGACAGCACCAAACTTTATCACTTTTTGCAAGCTCCAAATGGTCTTCACATGATAGGTCACCTGCCCTGTCAACCCTCACGCATTAGGCGTGATTGTCACGCATTTGCTGGAAAAATAGAAATCACGCATTAATTTAGCGTGTATGATCATATATCACGCAAATCACGCATTTTGTTGATATTTTTAAAAATCGTTTTTTGTGAAATGCCGACACGGTAAAAAACCGAACGGCGGAAAAAACCGAACGCAATCCTGTTCGGCGCATTCCGTTCGGTCTTTGCACGCGATTGCTGTTTATGTCACGCATTTGGTACAAAATATATGTAAATATCACGCATTCATTTTGAAATATTTACACCTACTCCCCCCCAACCCTGTTTTTGAACAGCGAGCATAAGCGAGCTGGAAAAATTTTAGGTGTCCAAAATCTGCCAGTGTTCACTGAAGCTGTCCAAAGTTTGAAGGAAGGTGTTCAACATTTGGAAGTCACTCATGTTAGATGGTCCCAAGTTGACAGCCCTGAAAATGTGTTACATTGTCATTCTATGCTTGTGGATGTGTGAATTATATGGGTGGGCACCAGAAAATTTTTGGCTTATTGATTTACTTGAAAGATGTCAAATAGCTTGGGAAATAGGTTAACAAAAATATCTTGAAGCTTTGATTAATATTCTTAAATTTCAAATTTGGCATAATGCAAGTACAGTAAAACATGTATATCTGAACACCTCTCTTTTCTGAACACTTAATGTAAAACTTCCTCTCAACATCAACTTGATTATCTCTCTTTGACTTCATGTTAAAGAAACCTTGAAATATGGACACCTGCTAATCGGAACATTTTTGGCTGCTTCCAGTGGCATTCAGATAAGACAGGTTTTACTGTACTGTATATTGTATTTTACTGTACTGTATATAGTATATTTTATCCATTTACACAAAAGTTCACAGTAGTCAAAATAAAAAGGCTCACTTTGGGAAAATTCACTCTTTAATCAGTTTAAATAGATTCTATACATTAAACACAGTAAAACCTGTCTAATCTGAACCCCACTGGGATCAGCTAAAAGCGTTCCATTTAGCAAGTGTTTCAATAGTATGGAAGTCAAGGGGAGAAAATAAAGTTGGGGTAGAAAGATTTGATAGATTCTATAGATATTGTGAAGGGACTTGACAAGCTTTTCTATGATTTCATGATATGTAGGCAAATTCTACTCTACTCTTGAAGACTTGTAGATGATACATCCAGAAGTGTAGCATTTTTGTCAAATGGTTCGATCATAGAATAAATGGAATCTTGTCTGTACTATTGGTAAGAAAATATCACATCAGATGTTTTTGCAATTGAAAATGAAGTCATATGGTAATGTTATCTCATTTTGTACCTCGACTTTGCCTCACCAAATAAAACTTTGCCTCATCAAATCTTAGATCCTGCCTACTCCCCAGATTAGTGGGTAGATTTATATTCCCCAATTCGACATCACAGTATCTTGGTTAAGACAAGTATTTTCTCTGACTTCCAAAATGGCCGGCTTCATGAACAAACAGGAAGCAAATATTTCAAAAAATTTTCATTGATATAGATCTATATTAATTTCTGTCAATTTACCTACTAAAACATCCAGTCAATGGCTAAATACATGAGAAATATAGAGAGTAATGACATTCTGTTATATAGTCGAACTGAGTCCAGTTTTAAGGAGGAAATCCAATCCATGAAAAACCCCATTATCGCCCATATTCTGGTACATATTTACCTTTGAAAAATCCCCAGGATTTTGTAATTTGAGGTATCTCTTACATGAGAATTTTGGAGCCACACTGTGTGTTTATTAGGGAGAATACAGGAAGGGTTATTTTTGATGCTTTCTTCAGATGAGGGAAACATAACCTGAGCAGCATTCTTAAATTCAGTGTTGTAACTATGGAAACCATGACATCATAATAAGAAAATGATGTACTTACAAATTTTTAACTTTACAAAGTCTTCCGCAGAAGATCTGTTTTCTGTTTAAAGGTCTGTGAAATAGGAAAGTTAAAGGCACTTATGTGTTCAGTGTAATGAAACAAGACAGAAAGTCAATTTTTTTTAAATTTTTATATTTCAACAAATAACTATCTACAGCTTTTATATACAAGTAAAAATACTTTTTACTCTAATTTGGCTTTATATGTAAGTCAATATCTACAATATTATATACAATGTATAGTTCAAGAAGCAGGTTTGTGTACAATGCATATTCTATGAACATATAATCCATTTACACTCAATAACTTTTACAGTAACAAATCATATTCAGCATATAGTTATAAATTTCAATTCGGAAAATTTACAATTTAAAAACACAAAATTGTGTTTTTGATCAGATAGTAATAATAATGGTTGAATGGTTTTATTGGCTCCCTGTCTTGGCGAATCATCCTAGGTGTTGATTGTCTGTGGTTTACATGCCAGGATAACCTTGGGTGATTGCAGGGTAGTTTATTGTAGATGTGTTGCTATGGTAACTGCTGTTGCTTGATGGGTAATTATAAGGTGGTCTATAGAGGTCCATACTTGTCATTGATGTTTGAGGTTCATAACTGATGGTGGCTCTTGGTTGTGAACTGTAAGTTGTAGTTAAAGGATCTGGTATGCTGACATGTGGGGCATAAGTTGTCGTCATTGGCTGTTGGTATTTGCCCATGTAACTGATCGTGGATGATTGTAAATGAGGTTGGGAGGGTATCTGAGAGACAGGGGGAATCTGTGGGGTCATTTGCGGGTAAGGAAAGGGCATTGGTGGAGGGTAGTTGAGTGCATTGGAAGACATGGGTACATACTGACGGTAAGGGTAGGGAGTGTTTGGTTGCTGTGCTTGAAGACCCCTCGAACCACGCTTAGCACGACGTCTGGCATTACGTCTCCTATAATCCCCCTTAGAAAAGTCCTCGATGCATGCAGGGTGGATTGACCAATAGTTGCCTTTCCCGCTATCAGCACGTCCTGCTTTGATAAAGCATTCATTCAGAGATAGGTTGTGTCGGATACTGTTTCTCCATGCTCGTTCCTCATTATTGTAATATTCGAAATTATCTTGAATATATTGATAGATGTCACCCAAGATCATACGCTTTTCTGGTTTGCTGAGAATCGCAGTTGCAATAAGTGCGATATACGAATGATGAGGCTTGTCAGCTTTAGAGGCGCCACCTTTAGCTGTGTTCTCAAGGGATTTGAGCACTTCATCAATGTCACTGATAACTGTTTCTGGACTGCTTGGATTGCTAATTTGCTCAAAGGATGATGTTGGTGATGACGCGAGACTTCCCATCGGTGATGATGTATGACTTCCAATTGGTGGCGATGGCGTGCAACTCTTGGAGGTTGATTCTCGCATATCAGGTGAAGTCTGTAACATTTTGCAGCCATCTTGTTGTCGACTGTGATCTGATTGGTTATGTACTGGTGATGACATCTTTGATGCCATTGAGTCTTGTATCGCTAGAAGTCCATTATAGGCAGTTGGTATGTTGTATGGGAGCTGGTTGGCAGACTGGAAATAAAGAAAAACAAATAGATATCAGATATTTAAAGATTTATCAAAACGGTTATAGACCTTTTTTACTTAACATTTTTGTTGCTTTAAAATTGAAAGAAGGTTAATGCCGATGAAGTATAAGTTCATTGTTCATTAAAAATCTACACTTATTAAAAAATATATTGATTGTAAACAAAAATGATAATTTACCTTTTCTGCATATGTATTTGTGCTATAGTTTGTTATATCGTTTACTTTATTTCCATAATTTGTGATTTCGCTAACTTTTGGCCCATATCCTGGTTTTTCATTGAGTTTTTGCCCATAGTTCTTCAAGTCTGCAAAGCCTGTATTATTTTGTGCTTCTCTAGTGACATAGTCGACACGGTAACTCATCAGTTTCAATGTTTCCATTTTGCTTCCTATCGTGATTTTCAGATTTACTTTCAGTTTCTACTTCTAAGGTTGTTTGCTAGCTGTATATGCTTTGCTTGCTCAGTTGCTGAATGATTTTCACAAGATTTCGATCTGATTTTATACTTGTTGACCAATGTTTTTTAAACATCACACTTCATCCATTGTTTGACACTGTTTGTGATGTCACTGCATCAAATACAAGGGGCTTACATGTTGTAAAACATGGACCTGACAGTTGAGTTTTTTAAACAGGAAGTTTGTTTGAGGTCATATCTCGCACAAACTGAGAGACACTTGTCATACATGTTAAGCAACAATAACACATTAAAGCATTAATTATTCATTCATAATTAATAAATCTCAAACAATATTTCTGACAAATTTCAAACAAATCACATATTAAATTCAACATAATGACCTTATTGCAGACCCAGACCTATGAGTATCAGTTTTCTGCAAAGGTTGATGAAAAATTTGTTTTAATTCAATTTCTATGGTTCAACTTAAATTATTTCACATTATAAATAATTGTTTAGAGAATAATCCTAATTTTTAATAGAAAATAATCCTACCGAAATAACTTTTGAAATCCTGAAAATATAAAGTAATGTATTTTTTACTTTCAGGTGACATTTGCATATTATGAAATTACTGTAATTACTTTGGAAGAAACCAGTATGGTTTAGTCCATTTTGGTGTCATATTCCATTTATCATATATCTATGAATAATTAATTCTCTAAATTGTTTGTTTTAAGTTTGGATTTGATGTGTAAATCTACGTCACTGACACTTGGATTAGTATGCGAGTTTTGTGTGAAATGACGCCATTGGCATTTTTACTTTCGAGGACTAAATGTGTGTGGAAAGAAGGAAACGTGATAACATGGGAACAGGAACAACATTGTCATTGAATTAAATTAATCAATGTTCAAAACACCCTCCAATGTAATTACATCTGTAAAAAGGGAAAGCACTAATGTTGCGTGAATTTCCATCAGTCTAATTACAAAGGTCAGGCAGTTGTGAGGTGTAAGTTCAAACATGACTTTGTATAAAATGTCAGATGAAAAGAACAAATGGTAACATTTGAAAAATATAAAACAAGCCTATGCAAATCCATACATGGTTAACTGACCTTACATCCTTACAATAATTTAATACAGTTTCAAATGGATATTGGTATATTTTGGTCTTGAAACAAATAGTATGACATCAGTCCCCGACAGGTTATCATCTGAATTCTCAGCACAGATCAACTATGAAAAGAAATACCCTGGGTAAAAATGACATGATGATATGACTAAACAGTTTTTTTATAAAACTCATAAAAATGACAGAATGAAAGAAAATTCTTAAGATGCTAAAAAGGCTAGTCATGAATAAGATATAGAGTTAGATATAGAGGAATTGTGTCACATGTATATTACATTCGACAAACTTAAGATGTCAGACATAAAGGATATGATAATTGCAAACAAAGACAAACAATCTCTATGACACATAACATTGATGACACATAAATAAACAAATGACACCTTGTTTCCTACTTTTTATATTAAGAAATATTGTAATAAGTATTTCAATCAAAAATATACCAGAAATATTTCTTACTTTCACATCTATGGATTGACCAGTTATTGCATTAACAAAAGTTACCTGTCATAGTTGAATAATTTCTACGACTTTTTTCGTTGATTAATTGCTAGCTGTAATAAGAAAATGGGCAATAGGGTAGAAATATTCTATGGGAATCTGAGACTCATGATTATATATAATTGCATTGTTTCTGCAATCTGTAAATTGTCATTTGATAATATCTACAAACTTTATTTATTTATTATGGCACACACATGCGATGTATGGATTGTATGTTATATGATATAACATGTTAACATACTGGTGCACTGTGCATTTTATGTTTCACTTGAATTTCATTTTTAATTGATGTGATACAGGTTTCCAAGTGAGGAGTATGGTTGAGCTTCACTTTGATAACACCCTTTTTAGCTTTTCAGGCTTTCTTAAGATATACCTCATTTTAATAATGTCAAACTGTGTTCAATTTCCTATTTGTTTAATTACCAAAGAATAACCACATCTTTTTATATTGAAATAATCCTATGATTGCAGTATATCTGAGCAGACCATATCTAGCGTCCAGTTCAACAGTAGTGGAGACTGGCTGGCCCTGGGGTGTCAGGGGGTGGGGCAGCTCCTTGTCTGGGAGTGGCAGAGTGAGAGCTACGTCATGAAACAGCAGGGACACTTCAACAACATGACGTGTCTGGCATACTCACCAGATGGCCAGTACATCGTGACAGGTGGAGACGATGGCAAGGTATCGTATTATACATTTTTCAAGGGCCCCTGAGGTCATTAATAAAAGGATGTCATAGTAAGAGAACAGTGAACTTTAGGAATCATTAACACTTTACAAAGCGTCCAATAAAGCGTGCATGTGTTGTAAATTATATGTTTGGGGGAAATCTTTTCATAAAGACATCACAAGTTGACATTTTCATTTGGCATTCAAATCATTACATTTTATCATAATAAAAATGTTTTAACGTATACTGGTAGCCGGAGGATAGGGTTCTCCCTTCAGTGGTTACTTAACTGAACTGGGACATTAGTGCAAGAATTGTGTATTTTGATAGAAAAGCTATTGCCTTTTTGAGTATTAAATACTTTTTCATATGGTCAAGAGCTTGAACTATTAAGACGAAAAACTAGCATGCTTTTCTTTTTATTGACATACATGTAAAGAACCATAATCAGGCCTCCTAGACTTCCATCAACGCGAACATCAGTTCTGATGTCGCTAACTACGTTCCCTGCACTGGAACCACAATCTCAGAGATCCGTGCGCGCGATCCACACATCGTGGTTTGCGAGCACGGATCTCTGTGCGCGAGTGGAGAAATATGTTTGGGAGTGAGGAAATAGTGGTGCGCGACTAAAGATTTTACTTCGCGATGTGAGAATCGTGGTTCCAGTTCAATGAACGTAGTTCGCGACGTCAGAACTGATGTTCGCATTGATGGAAGTCTAGGAGGCCTGATAATAACTCTTTTACTAAATGTCTCCTGAATTGCAATTTCAGGTTAAAGTGTGGAACACGACAAATGGTTTCTGCTTTGTTACCTTTAACGAACACATGGCAGGTATAACAGGTGTGACATTTACACAAAATGGCCAGGTAGTCCTTTCATGCTCACTAGATGGCACTGTCAGAGCCTTCGATCTTAACAGGTATGTAAATGTCATTCTGACCTTTTAGCTTCATTTTTCTGATTTCTTTGTATATGTTCATGAACATCTTTATTCTATTTGCCATGTATGTATATTTTTATTGAAATATGTGAGGTATTATAGAGCCAGACTAGATGTCAAAAATTTGAACAAGGTTCTTTAATCTACAAAGTCCAATGACATGATTCAACCCCATGAAACATTGTGGCCTGCAATCATTTCATTATAAGTGGACATCCTTTGTGGATCCTTTGTGGGATGTGTGGAGTAATGCCAGTTCTGCAAATCTGGTGGTGACTGCACATGAATTAAACAACACATGGATTAAGAAACAAATCAACTATTTATTTGGTTTCCTGAAAAACAATACCTATTATGAAACTACATCAACAGTTGGGGAAGCACTTGTATAATATATGTAGCATAACATAAAGCATATTAAATTTTTAAGAAGTTTGTGAAAAAATAACTCATAGAATATGAATCATTTAATTGCCCAACTATGATAACCTGAAGTTGAAATAGATAGTACATGTATTTTAATAGAAAATATCCACAGAATGAAATTTCAATTCTTTGGAGATGCACCTATTCCGTCTTTTACATTTGTGTAGAAAATAGTAAATGTTGGCCTTGTATCAAAAAAGATTTGAAATGTTATATAGATTGCTCTGACCCCTAATGATTATAGCGCATAAAATACAAATTATTTTGAGCAAATTAAAAAAACTATACAATATGATTTATCAATGTAATTCAGCTTTGGTATAGTTACGATTTTTAATCAAATTGAAACTAACCAAGTTTGCCATAGGTTCAGAACAGATGTAAACACATAGACTCATATGTCTGCTTTGTAATTTTGACTCCAGTTGCAGCTATGAGTTGAATTATAATGGTGGCATATGTAATGTCAAGCCATCAAATCATTGTGGCAACATCTACATAAGACTTAAATAGCACATCATATTAATGAACTTACAACACAATGGAGAATGATAAAAAATAGTCATATTATAAGGAATACGAGTGGTGATCCAAAAGTCTTGGACGCCTCGCTCTAACTTTGCTATTTTCTAATATAATTACATGAAACTTTCCGATAATAAAGATCAACATCTTAACAACTTTGTGTACAAGTTTCACCAGAAAATAATATATTTTAGCTACTTTTCTAAATATTTTTAAATACCGGATCCCTGCCACCCGGAACGGTATTTAAATATAGCAAATCACGTCACAACTGTTAATATGGCAAATACTTTAGGTGCAGGTGCACAGCCTAATATAAAGTCATGATATGAGAGAATTTCCGATTTTCAATCCGATTGTCATCTGCCATCATCATCTTCACATATTAAGACCTACTTTTCTAATATTTTAAACGAATTTGAACACATTTTTCGTACCGCTTTACCAATGAATGGAAGACATTTATGAAACTGCCATTGCTTATGTGATACAAATGCTGCTGGAATACCACTCTGAACCTTATCCGATGAGTAAAAACATTTTCTTTCAACCCTCCTTTTCAACTTGGAGAAAAGGAAGAAAATCACACGAAGCCATATCTAGACTGCAACGTGCATATGGTAGCTGCTCAAGGTCAATAATAGTGAGAATATCTTTGTAGTATTCTTTGTTCCACTTTATTAATCATATTTTCCTTTTGTCTTAACCATACCTTGTTTTTTTAATTTGTGACGTTTCGTCCAGCATGGTCGCTTGACTTTTTCGAACTGCTTGAAGTTGATACTTGATCTTGAGAGTTAATTAGCACTTTATTCCACAAACTTGATAATTCGTGATTGCCTGAGTCTCTATTCATACACTGTTTTTCTTTCTTTATGTAAATTGCCTCTTTTATCCACCGTTTATTTCTCTGACCTTCATTGTCTATAACCTTGACGTTATCCCAATCAACTACATGTTTGTTCCACTTTGATTTCTTTCATGTTCTGCATGAGGGTTGCTTGTCTGATGTAATTTTCTTTGAATTTGACATACATGGCGATCGTCATATGTGACATTATAATTAAAACACATTTAATTGTTTGCCAAGTACAAAGGAAGTAAACTAACATGGTTTAACATTCAAAATTCAAAGAATGATAGTGGTCAAGATTTGCGAAACAAGTCGAATGCCGGCAACATTTAAGGCTGAAAGTTGCCATGTGTGAATACCGTTCCGGGTGGCAGGGTCCCTATATTAAAAACTATCTAGAATACTACATAAAATATATCATTTCTCCATGAAATTAATACACAAAGTAGTTAAGTTGTTGGTCTTTATTATTGGAAAGTTTAAAGTAATTTTAACAAGATTAGAGCAGGGCGTCCAAGACTTTTGGATCACCCCTCGTATATATAGGCAAGCACACAACACTGGGACTAACCAGGGCCCGCTGACATCGCGAGCAATGAGCTCATGTTAGAAGCGGGGCCTTGAGAGATATAATAAAATTGAAATGTAATACTTTCTGTGAAACTTTAGTGAAACTCAGTACATCTTTATTTCAAAGTACAATGGCTATTTCAATCGCAGGGCAGCAACGTTCTTCAACTATAACTATATTTTATCATCTCTCTAGGCCCCGCTTCTAACATGAGCTCATTGCTCGTGATGTCAGCGGGAACTTGCTCGTGATATTTGGGGCCTGGATAGTCACCGTGATACTAGCAATACAAAGGTTAATTTATTTTACGAAATCTGAAATGTTATAAGGATTTGATCCATTTCAAATCTAAGGATTCACCCTACATCATCAAAAACAGTATATGTTCATTCATTCTTTATATAGAAACTTTTTAACTAAAAGTAGAATACATCAGCACTTTGATATCATAGATAATTCTGATGATATTGAAGAAGAGATTATTAGTCTCAAATAACATATGTAATAATTTCACATTTTATGGTTTGATATCATTCAGTATTTCTTATTTAATGTTTACTTTTCCTCATCTGTGGTATCATCCGTATCTTCCAGTATGTAGGCCATATTACTTGGCCTAACAATCTGGTTTCCAAACTCCTTCCTTATGTCAGCTATCAGATCTTCTTTCATCTGCCTTTTCTCTTCATCTGGATTATGAAAAAGGATCATGAGTAACAGAATAATTGGGTCCTTGGAGAAGGGTTCATAATCGCAATACTTTTGTATATGTCTATAATGTTAATCAATAATTTTTTTTTAATTCTGGAAGCACATTCTTGCAATAAATAGTGTATTGTTCACTGTTCCTAAGGGAAAGAATATGAACTGGACTGAAATGTAATTTGTAAAGTTGTGCTGGAGATGGATTTTATTAGAGTTGCACTTCTAATGATTAACATATTAAATACATGTACACGAAACGGCTAAAACAGCACTGTTTAAAGAATTAATGTACATGTACATGTATAATGGTTTACCTGTAAAGTAGGTATGGATGACATCACCAATATGTACGTTATCGCATTCATGTATGTAGTATGCAATAGCATTTGAGGCTACATTTAGTTTGCCTTCCTCATCATCAAGCAATGCCTCGCCAGCTTCTCCAGAGGTGACAGGAATATTCTCATCTTTAACATTAGATGCAGATCCATTTTCATCAATTGGTTTAGCTTCATTGGATTGTACAGCATTGTTCGGTAAGTCAGATACATCATTTTTGATCGGCACAGCTTCGTTTGATCCCACTGCATTGTTAGGCATGTCACACTTGTCTTTGACATCACTTGGTTTGAAGACTATTTCTTCAATCTCTGCTGTTTCAACAGGACCCTCCTCAGTCTGTGTCTCTTGATTCATGGAGAACTTTGTTGGTGATGGCTGTTTGGCTTGGCCTCCATCAGATGTAAACCATGATTTGATTTTGGCTTTTAATGATGGTGTCTGTTGCTTTGGAACATCTATGGTGGAAATAATTATTTTTGTATATTATATAGCTAAAAGGCTTAATTCTTTCTTCAATTAGAGAAAGTTGTTATTATCATGATACCATAACAAATCTATTTATAACAAAATAATTGTGCTTACCTCTTTCATCAATACATCTGCTCACTTTCTCAACAAGATCTGGGTCATTTGACTTGAAACGGGGAAGCCATCTCAGGTACTCTGGTACACTAATCGCACCATGTATGATCACTATCATCTTAAATGCACCCCTTGTCTCAAAGATTCTATGGATTCCGATTTTGGCTTCAAAGTGACACCAACGACTGTTTTCAAATGCCTCTGTGAGCACAATGATCATAGCTTTAGAAGTATTTGCAAAATCTAGGATATTACTGCATACCATAGTTCCAGGTACAAAGTCACGATAGTGGTATACCAATTTATACCCCCTTTCCTCAATTTCTGTCAACATGGATATTGCCATATCTGAATCTCTACTGGCAGCTACCAGAAGGGCATCAAATTCTAAAAATATTGAATACAAATTTTTGTTTTTTTTGACAATATACATAATTGCATAAAAATAGTGTAGTCAGACATGTATTTTGCCTATGTTTCATGGGAGCAAAAATAAAAATGATCAAAGAGTAGTAATAAATCAGTGGAGACGCTAATCCCATTTAACGTGTAGTTCAGCAATTGATGTGAAATTAAGAAGCATAATTGCGCATGTCAATAGAAAATATTACTTAGACCATATATATATTAATAAACGTCTGCACTGGGTCTTCCTATTAACCTGGTGTTTCAAATTATAAATTACAATAGACAGTATGCTTATTGACGTGATTCTGCAAACCAGAAATCGCCGTCGACTCCACTGTACATTTACCATAGAATATATGCCAAGACTCAAACAAAACTTGAACTCAAGACGAGAAATTTTTTGTCTCAATCATATATTATTTCACTTAAGATGGTTACTTTAATACCCAGCATTAGTTTTCTTCTGCAAGTGAATGTATATTGATTTTTGATTTACATTACCATGCTCGTCAGTGCTGTTATCATCATTTGGCACAGCCAATACATCTGTGTTGTCTGGGGACGAATTTCTTACTGCTTGGAACAATGATGGCTTCATGTACTGCTTGTATTTCTTTATCATCAGTCTCATTTCCTCTTGCCCATTTCCTATATATTTCAATGAATACTACTCTAAAGTGGACTGGCAAAGAGGGTGATGAAATTTTAGCAAACTGATGTTTTCATTGTTTCAGAAAGATCTGGTCTAATTTCTAGATATTTTTATATGTAAATGTCTGTAATAATATCCTTGACAGTGGATAGTTAAACCTACACAAACTCTGAATGTAGTGTACGATACATTAGGTAAATTTACCTGAGAAAATGGTAAAACACAAATTCAAATTTCTTATGTTGTATTTTACTATTACCTCGCAATAATACATTCATAGTTTGTTCATCAATAATTGATTTTGTTGTAGGTTTCATGATGAAGAGTAAACAATGAACTAGAATTGAACTAGATAGTATCAAATAGAGATAAGAAATAAACTACTTATAAGTAATTGTAAACAGTACCCATCACAGGCTGTTCTAGGTGTTCAAATAAACTGTTGTCTTGTGCATCAATCATGGTGGCATACTTCAGGATACCTTCTTTCTTCACTTCACCTCCATGTTTCACCACGACAACACTTTTCTCACCACCTGTATTCATTGATAGATGTAGGGCATATTCAAGTGTATATCTAGTATATGACCCACCTAACTGAGTCTTTGGGGAAATTAGCACAACTGTTAAACAGGATTGGTCTATAGATTCATCTATTGAGTTTATCATTATCCCTCTAGGAATTCAATCTCTCTCAGAGAATACCACTTTATATCTACGTCTCTCTATCTTATCAACAACTTCATAAGCAGCAACGAAAGCTTCTGAATCACCAGAGTAAGGGAAAATATGGTACCTTTTATAAAGTGGTAAGGGTACCAGTGCCCCATGAGCGCTCTAGCCACCATTTTCTGGAAGAAATAAATGATTCAAAGCTGAATTGCATAAGAAAATAAAAAACAAACTTCACGAATTGAAATTCCAGATTTTGAAAAAATGAAAAAATGATACTAGTCTTCGGATAATCCCAATATCTTAAACGTCATATAGGTTATTCTCTATTTTTTGAATGACAAGTGTACCCCATGTGATTGTATGCAGAAATGAATTACTATTGACTGAATAGTTGGAAATTCAAAAAGTAACTAAAAACCTGCTCTGGATCTGATTGGAGGAAAATCCAGAATGGTGCTTGTGTCACTAATTCCCCTGGATGGTGGAAACCTCAAATTGTGTTCAATTCTGACAGTTGGTTGTTCTGTTGATTTTCTCAATGTGTCAATAATAACAACCCATAAGTTGGTCTCAAGATGTATCTAAGTTAAGATAATAAAAAGACTAGCTAGAATAGCCCTCATTAACCATGTTTAAATACATAATAAGTTGTCAATAAGCTATCAAACACATTAAATTGTCAAATAATATGGGCTCTTAACTGTTGTGAACTATTATGATGGTCATGTGGATTGTGTGATCTCATAATGGATGATTGCTATGCTTCATTAGAAGTGACTGTTAGGCCCCATGACTGTTTTGTCAAATATCCTGAGGAAAATTGATTTTGCCCCTTTGGTTCATTTTTAACATGTGCAGATCACACACAGGGTGTAATTTTGTTGATATCTTAGCAATATATTTGTTTAAGATCATGTTTAGTCTGACCAAAGGATCTTACAAACTTAACATAACATTTTATCGGTATGAATTTTATTTTTCTGAAGATCTCTGCATCTATTGCATTCTCTTACTCAGTCATTTCTGACCATTAGCTTTGCGTCTTAGACTCTGGTAGCACATCTAATGGAGCATGAAAGCACCTCCTTTGATATCACACAATTTACACGATTGATTTATTTAATTCTTAAAGCACTTTACAACATATTCAAGATAAAGAAATTAGCGAGATCTTATGAGAATTTTATGATCAACCCTCGTGTTACATACCTAGGGAAGCATTTCTATGGAAGTCAATTTGAAAGTTAGGGGCTATATCGTGCCTCGTTTTGATATTAGATTTCTTTAATAACCATGACCAAATCATGACGTCATGTCTGATTTCGATCAAATTCTACTCGCACACAGATGTGTGACGTCATTGAAACAAAGTAACCGTGGGAATAAAGGTATGTAATACAGTACATCAGTTTTGTCACTATGACGTGAAATATGGCTTCATTCTTACCCAAATATAGAGCCTCCCAAGGTCAGCCTGATTGGGAGAACTCATATTTCACTTCATAGTGACATAACCTCTATATATTCTACTTTAGAATGACTAAATGGCTGGTAAGATAGAGCCAACATGCCCAATACCTAATCAGCTGTGGAATTTTGATTTTGATTTGACTGTTGATGTCATTAGAGAATGGCTATGCTCCAATCTGATTGGATGAGAGACTCTAATAGTGCATGGTCGTGTTAATGTATTATACATGCACTAAGGTACAGCTGGAAAATAACATTTTGGTAAAAAATTGCTATACCTGCACATGTTATTTTCTGGTACACTATAAAGTACGAAGGCATGTGTTAATTTCCTAATGATACTTTCAGGAAAGTATCATTACATTTTTATGTCCCCACCACATAGTGTGGGGCCATATTGTCGGCCTAGGCGCGTCCGTCCGTCCGTCCGTCTGTCTGTCCGTCTGTCTGTCCGTCCGTACGTCCGGCAGTTTTCTCCAAAACCGCTACAGATATCACCTTCAAATTTTCAGGGATAACTTATGAGTGCATACAGATGTGGATGAAAAAAAATTAACTCGATACCTACTTCCTGTCGGCCATTTTGAAGTCAAATGCTGCATTTCTGTTTAACCGTGGCGCAATTGAATAACGAAATATTTGAAAAGTAGAAGGATTTGCTATATTCGTTTTTATGTCCCCACCACATAGTGTGGGGCCATATTGTCGGCCTAGGCGCGTCCGTCTGTCTGTCCGTCTGTCTACAGATATCACCTTCACCTTCACCTTCAAATTTTCAGGGATAACTTATGAGTGCATACAGATGTGGATGAAAAGAAATTAACTCGATACCTACTTCCTGTCGGCCATTTTGAAGTCAAATGCTAAAATCCTTGTCTGCAAACTTTAAGAAAAACGGCTTCACAGTTGCTTTTAAAACTTTAACATCTTGTTCAGCTCACTTCATTCTAGATCTGATTAGGTTTTGGACCTGTTAGCTCAGTCATGTCAGCCATTTTGAATGTTTTAAGAAAAGTTAGCGCACGATAATACTTTGTATCATATTAAATGGTGTTTTTCAGTTTTCATACTTTAACTATTTACTAGCTTTATAAATAATTTCAGGTGTACTTTGTTGTAAAAGCCTATGTAATTATTAACAGTAGTTATATGTGATAATTTTGTAAGAAGAAATCAGCAAAAACTCATAATCACTTTTTTATTGTCGGCCATTTTGTATTTTTCCGTCCTAAAATCTTGTCTGTAAAGTCTTGTCTACGGGTTTTCAGGTGAACCGTTTGGTAGATCAATTTCAAATTTTCAGGGATGATTCTTAGTATGAAAATCTAGATCTGATTAGTTTTTGGGCATTCTGGGTAAATGTCAAGGCAGCCATTTTAGATTTTCCGTCCTAAAATCTAGTCTGTAAAGTCTTGTCTACGCATTTCCAGGTGAACCGCTTGATAGATCAATTTCAAATTTTCAGGGATGATTCTAAGTATGTAAATCTAGATCTGATTAGTTTTTGGGCATTCTGGGTAAATGTCAAGGCAGCCATTTTGGATTTTCCGTCCTAAAATCTTGTCTGTAAAGTCTTGTGTACGCATTTCCAGGTGAACTGTTTGGTAGATCAATTTCAAATTTTCAGGGATGATTTTTAGTATGAAAATCTAGATCTGATTAGTTTTTTGGCATTCTGGATAAATGTCAAGGCAGCCATTTTGGATTTTCCGTCTTAAAATCTTGCCCGTAAAGTCTTGTCTACGCGTTTTTAGGTGAACCGTTTGGTAGATCAATTTCAAATTTTCAGGTATGATTCTTAGTATGAAAATCTAGATCTGATTAGTTTTTGGGCATTCTGGGTAAATGTCAAGGCAGCCATTTTGGATTTTGTGTCCTAAAATCTTGTTTGTAAAGTCTTGTCTACGCATTTCCAGGTGAACCGTTTGGTAGATCAATTTCATATTTTCAGGGATGATTCTTAGTATGAAAATCTTGAACAGATTAGTTTTTGGCATTCTGGATAAATGTCAAGGCAGCCATTTTGGATTTTCTGTCCTCAAATATTGTCTGTAAAGTCTTGTTTACAGGTTTTCTGGTTAACTGTGTGACGGATCAATTTCAAATTTTCAGGGGTGGTTCCTAGTATGAAAATCTAGAACTGACTAATTTTTTGGCATTCTTGGTAAATTTTAAGGTGGCCATGTTGGATTTTCCGTCCTCAAATTGTGTCGGTAATGTCTTGTCTACTCATTTTTAGGATAACCATTTGACGGGATCACCCATAGGTGGGGACATTTTGTACACATTTGTGTTCTTGTCTTTCAAAGTTTCCAGACAACACAGGAGCTACCATTGACCTGTTTCCAGGTTTACTAAAAGTAGACGATGTAATGATACTTTCCTGAAAAAAACAAGAAAATATACACTTGCCTTCATACTTAATTTTGTACCAGAGAATGACATGTGCAGGTATAGCATTTTTTTAAACCTTAACAGTCTTTTTATATCTACATTGTATGTAAAATACTTAACACCAAACCTTAACTAATATTTTCTTGCCAAATTATAATGGTATCCCTCACTTGAATTTCTGGCAGAAAAAATTAACTTATTTGACTCTAAACCATATTGAACCTGACATAGTAATAATGTATTATTTTGATATGTAGCTACGTAGACATAGTCAGATAACAGCAGCAGCTCCTCAACAAGAGCCTAAATTGAGCATATCTTGTATAAATATGGGGCTTATTTTGATGATAAGAAAGGAGGAACCAGGATGCTGAATGGCTTCATATTTCTAACAACTACATGTATACTGATTTATTTACTGCTATATCTTTTAAAAGTAACTTGACTCTTAGCTGTAATTTCAATTTAATATTCATGACAATGTTGCATGCTTCTAATTTTTGATTAAAGTTAATTCCTACCTTTAATTAGTGCATAAACCAGCTAATTCACATACAATGTGCGTTGCTTTTTAGAATGGTTTGTAAATACCAAACATTAAAAGGGGATCCCCATCATGAATGTCGTGATGAAAGGAGATTTACTTGGATACACATTACCCAGCATATGAATGGGGTGAACATAAAGTCAATTTTTGTTGTATATTGAATTCAGTGTATTGTTTTTTACACATTTAAATGTCTATTCACAGTTCCACTTCTGTGGGGACAAACTCTACATAGTGACTATATACGTGTAATTGATATATTTGAGCAGCATAACCCCCCTATCACACCAAACTAGTTCTTACCCGTTCTTGCCAGTCCTACGGAAACGTCGTAAAACGGGCTCAATCTGGCTGTGGTCGGGAAATATCTCTAAAATAATTAGCTACTTCGTTCATAATCAGTCTTCAATACGTCCATCTCATTCGCAGTTCGTTCAGGTCGTACCACGATCGGTGTGCAACGTCGTATAACGAGTCCCTTCGTCTAGAAGGTCATCATGACCTGATTACAGAACGGTATGGTCGCCATCGAATTTTGAATCGATTCAAAATTCTACAATCACCTTCCCGTCTGAGAACGTTCATGAAGTTCGTAAATAGACCTTAGAAAGTTGCAGCTATGTTCATTATGTTCGCACATAGTTTAAAACCAGTTTTGAAGAACGCAGTGGCAACTTGTTTGGTGTGATAGCTATATTTTTGCTAAGTCGTTCATAAGCAGTCTTTAATACGTTCTTACTCAGTTTAAACCCGTTTGCAATTAGTTCTGCCTCGTTCTCAATACGTCCTCAGACAGTTCAACTCGTTGTAAAAACCTCCCTAGTAGGATTGAAGTATGACGGTTCCGTTCGTAGTACGTCCAGCTCGTCGTTAGTACGTTGTCACTCGTTCTAATTGTAGAACGTGACGACCACGAGAACATTTTGAGCATGTTCTAAGTTCTAGAGGACCTACTCGTTCGAGTACGTTCGATGAAGTTTGTAAATAGACCCCAAACAGTTCTAAGTACGTCCAGTCCGTTCGTACACAGTTGAAGCCCGTTTTCGAGAACGTAGTGAGAACTAGTTTGGTGTGATAGTAGGTTAAGAAACATGATGCAATTTAGGCCCATGTAAAAAGTAAGAAAAAATTGTCATTGTTTTCATATAATTGATAAAGGCTTTGCAAGAAAGTGTTAAGAATAAGATAAGAATAAGATAACAGGAAGGTTAATTGTTAATATACACCTTGTTGGGTTGCGATATAAATGAAAGCAACCCAATTAGGTGTATATTAAAGATTAACCTTCCTGTTATCTCAAAATCTGCTTCGAACCACACCATTTGATTAACATGGGAAATTCCTCCAAGAGAATATTCTAGGGATTAAAGAATTGGTGCAGTTTACACAATTTGCGAAATTATTGGCATACATGAAACCTATTTAAAACAGCATTTTTATTGTTCCAAAGCCTCGAGCACAATGATTCCAAGCCCTCTGAAGTTTGAAAAATAAAAATGCCTGGGTGTTAATCCATAGATAATCCTTGAAAATGAGAACTTTTTTTGGGGATTATACGGAGCAATCTTATAGTCAATAAAATGTTAAACAGTGTATTGTTGTTTTTCAGATGAAATGCTTAAAAAAACTTCCTTGCTTCATTCTACAAACAACTCGCGGTCCTTTATATTTTCTTCATATGGAATGAAAGATGAATATCCACTCTAAATGTATAAGTAATGAAAAGTATTATACCTGGTACATACACGGCAACATGCTGAATTAAGGCTTTGAAAGGGTGTCAAAAACACTTTGATATACAACTTTTAAAGAACAGTATACATAAAACCATGACGGTGATGCATTAAATCCTTATCTTTACTTCTGAAATGTGTATATAATGGCCAACTTAATATTATTCAAGTTTCTAGTCTCTTTAAAAAACTAAGTGATAAGTAAAATCAAAGAAGCAATTCAAAGTATGAATTGCCCGGCATATAAAATTGTATATGGTATGGTACTTACCAGTCCTTCTGCCTAGAATTGGACTGAAGTTGAAATCCTGTCATTCGCTTTTCAGGTACTATAACTTCCGAAGATTTATTTCCCCTCCTCCTGCCCATTTCTCATGCCTTACTGTGAAATCTAGTTCTAATCCAATATATTGTGTTTTTCAGGTACCGTAACTTCCGAACATTTACCTCCCCTCGTCCTGCCCAGTTCTCTTGCCTTGCTGTTGACTCCAGTGGTGATGTTGTTTGCGCAGGAAGCCTGGACTCATTTGAAATATATGTTTGGTCAATGCAGACAGGACGACTTCTAGATGTGAGTTTTATTAAATGCTAAGTGTAACCTTTACAGTGCCATTGCTAGGACTAAATATGTGTTGAGTTTTTTAACCGTGAGTTTAATTTAATAAAGATTTTGCAGTCAAACTTGTCTCATCCGAACACCAATACAACCAGCCAAAAGTGTTTAGGAAAACAAGTATTCACATTTAAAGGTTTTGAACATGGTTATCTATGGTAGATTCAAATATGGAACCAAAAAATGTTCACAATGAGAGGTTCCAAGAGTAGAGAGGAGGATATACAGGTTTTACTGTTTTCCTCAAATAACATCTAAGTATTACTTTAGTACATTACACATAATGGATGTACAGGGTGATCATTAAATAAGATCAACAGTGCTCTAATTTTTGTAAACATAAATGACTTATGATCACCCTGTATGTTACGGTATTTTAAAAGAGCACATTTCAATTTATTATGTCACTACTAACATATATATTATTAAAGTCTCCAACTTTTTTGTGGATGGTGTTCAATGGTCAGTCTACAGCCGTTGGTATCTGTAACAAATGGCAGTTGGTGACATTTTTCATGTTAATGCCTTTTTTGACATGATGGTAGCTTAAGGAACCAGCAGTATTTAGATTGAGATTTTTCACGCTGAGAAATATGATTATTTGATTTTATTCTTGAGGTTTTGTATCAGAAGGATTCCACAATCTACTGTACATTGTATAAAATTGCTTGCATTTCAGGTGTTGTCAGGACATGAAGGACCAATCAGCTCGCTCAGTTTTAGTCTCAGCACCGCCATCTTGGCTAGTGCATCCTGGGATAAAACAGTGAAATTATGGGATGTGTTTGAACATAAAGGATCAAAAGAAACATTAACACTGAATTCAGATGGTAAAATTTATATTTATTATTTATATTGTAATAATATTGATGCCATATTTATATCACTAGACATAATGGACAAAACAAACGAATTTGTGGCAATAGAAAAATAATATGTTGTCAAGTACATGTAATTATTATTGATACAATGTACATTTTGAGCACAGTATTAATGTTTAAAATCATGTTCTACCATTTGTTTGTTTATCGAATCATATAATGAATTGCACCCCTAATCCGCACTCTGGACTCATGGTAGTGTATCAAGTATGGTGCCGGACATTGTTCACGGTACCTTATAGTACTGTTTTAGTCTGGTACCGTACGATACCATATTTACTGAACCATACAGTACTGTAGCCAAAACGGCACTGAACGGTACTATTGAGATTGGCTGTGTATATCACCAGAAACCAAAATATATTTCATGAAATTACATGAATTAATATTTCTTTTTTTCTGATTTTCAGTTCTTGCAGTTGCTATGCGACCAGATGGTAAAGAGGTTGCCATAGCAACCCTAAATGCCCAGATCTCATTCTGGGACGTGACAAATGCTGTTGAGACCCACAATATAGAGGGCAGGCATGATATTGGCTACACACGGAAAGAACTTGATAAAATTACTGCCAAGAAGTCAGCCTTTGGAAAGTAAGAATTTTTGATTTAGACGATTAACCACAGTCATTCAGATATTATTGTAAAAAGTTTCTGAATTTTAATAAGGTGGACCAAGGGAAAGATCAATACCCGGTGATTTCAGCGGGAAGTGGCGTTTCGTTCAGTGGATGAGCTGCGCGCGCACGCATAAATGTGATTATCCAATATAATTAGGGGAGGGCTATTTGAAGTAGTTTTTGATCTCAGGCGCGACCCAGGGCTGTTGTCTTAAGGACATTTCGTTGAAAATGAGCCATTCGGCTGATAATTGGTAAGAGTTTGCGATCTTATAATGTATAACTGTTACTCTAACACATATTTTGACACGATTCTGTTGGAAATAAGCTTTGAACCGAGAGATATTCACGATTGATATGCACATTTTTGATTGTGCCATTGCTTTTCTATTGCACAATCCATGTATTGATAGAAGAAACATTAATAATGCAGATTGGTTTACCTTCAATACATGGCAGACACTACATATCGGTCTATTAATACCAGTTTGTGCCTTAAATAGTTTTATATTTCCATCCACGGAGCCTGGGTGTGTTTGTCTCTTATGTGTATGCTTGTGCATGGACTTCTAATCACTAGCAGAATTTAACATGATGCAAACTCGACATTATAACTCATGCTGTAACATTTTGACTTCGCTGGAAAACAATAGGAATTATTTTTCTTGCCAATCAATCATGAATCACAATCAAAATTTCAGAATGATCAATCAGGCAATTGTCCAAATCAAGTTATAACATTATATGATATTCAGCAAGAAGTCCGGTAGAAATACAGAATATTTAAACATCAAAGCTGAAAGTTAAAAGCTAATCTGTCAATTTTCTGTCTGCAAAAGAGCGTTTACATTTGACACAATAACAGACTGAGGCTTTGAAATCTAGGATTCCCCAGGAAAATATGACGTCATACTAATTAGCATAAGGATTTCCCTATTGGTATGGGTCAAGCCTTGTTCGAAAACACAATCCATAAATACATGCTAATTTCTAAGGAGATAGGAAGTGTATAACGTGTTTATCGATTTTGTTTAAAGATTTAATCAATTATCAAATTGTTTAAGTGGATAAAGTGGTCACACTTGCTTCAATTCATAGCGAAATCGACGGATAGAAACTGACCGAATTCCTGATATCCTACCCCGTATTACTGTAGGCTATAAGCACAGTGACCTACAGAGGGCGCTATCACAAACAAGTACTGCACGAACCGATAAATTCCCGGGTATTGTAACGCCCTTGGGTGGACCAAAGCAGCAAAATGTTATTCCTTTTTCCCTTCCACACCAACATATATCTCAATATATAGTGTTAACCCTATGTTATGCAGGCCCGTAGCCAGGATTTGCCAAGGGGGGGGGTCAGTTTTCCAAAATTTCAAGGGGGGTTCACATGTGACAATTTTGGCCCAAATATGGCTAAAATCACTTGAGAAGTGCTCAAAATGGTGAAAATGGATGATTTTGAAAGAATTTTTGGCTAGGGGGGGGGTGGGTTCACCCGAACCCTGCGAACCCCCTTGGCTATGGGCCTGGTTATATGCTTGATTTCTCTCTTGCAGGGCATTCAGTGCTCTATGCTACACAGCAGATGGTACATGCATCTTGGCAGGAGGCAGATCTAAGTATGTCTGTATATATTCCATACAGGACCAGTTACTCATGAAGAAGTTTGAGATATCTCAGAATAAATCATTTGATGGAACGGAGGTAAGTTGGTCTCATGATTTAAGAGTTTTAAATTCTTTGATGGAACAGTTTTTTTACCATTCAATAAATTTTGATAGCCATTCACAGGGTAAATCAAAATCTGTACTTCATAAACTATCTTATTCATGTAGTTCACAACATGGATTTGATTGATTCGTGGTTGCAGTTATTTCCTTAGTTGTTAGATGGTAATAGGGAATGTGTGAACATATTTTTCTATCACCCAATTTTGTTAATATGCGTTCAGTATTTCTGATTTGACTATCTCCCTTTTTAGAACTCAATGACAGAAAATATGTTTTCTTGCTAGGAATTCCTGGATCGTCGCAAGATGACAGAATGGGGCAGTATGGCAATGGTGGAAACTGGAGAAGGCGATAAAGATGGCACTGTCATCAGTCTGCCTGGGGTCAAGAAAGGTGACATGAGCTCCAGAAATTTCAAACCAGAAGTGAGAGTTTCTGCTCTACAGTTCTCCCCTACAGGTATTGTTCATAAATGCTGTTTATTAGATATTGGTTGACTTGGTGTGCCAATAGAATTACTTACTCCATTTCTTCCATTTGTCTGAACTTCTACTCTTATCCATTTTATGGGGGACCCCAGACCTTGCTTGTAATTTACACCAGGGGTCCCTTCTCCTACATTTGCCTCATTTAAGAGAAATCCTTTTTGTGCAACCATCAAAACGAGTTTGGCGTTTGGCATCTGTAACAAATGGCAGGTGAATTTTAAATTTTGCATGTTAATGCCTTGTTTCACCATGTTAACCCATCGAATGGTGTCTTTTTTCGAGGAGGGTTTAAATGACAGTTTTATCATAACGACAACATGATTTTGACTGAGTCATATTGTGATATTGAGCTGGTTTGTTCTATTAAAATAAAAAAATAAATAAAAAAGCTCTTATTAAGACATATTAGTTATATTTCAACTCCATGAATTTGTCAAGATTTCGATATATGTTTTGGTCAATTCAGAGTTCAGCGTTCATCAACCCCTGTCTTTTTTGGTCAGCAGAATTAACAAAGAAAAAAGCATAAACGATTGTTAAGAAGTACTGTAAGAACATCAAACTGTAAAACAAACGTTACTTTTAGCCGGAGCCTGTATCTTATTATGTTCTGTGTTTCAGGTCGTTCCTGGTCAGCTACCACTACAGAAGGTCTCCTGACATACTCATTGGATGGCAGCTTGATGTTCGATCCATTCCAGTTAGCCATGGACGTCACACCAGAGAACACCCGGCGCCACCTGGAGAGCAAGGAGTATGTCACTGCAATCATGATGAGCTTCAAACTGAATGAGGAGAATCTTATAAAGGAAGTGGTGGAAAATGTTCCAGTCGAAAATAGTGAGTTTTACACAACAACAGCGTATATAGACAAGTTGAGAGTGACTGTTTAAAAAATTAAAAAGTTAAGCAGTTCTGACTTTCATAATATATTATTCCTCATTTTTTAAGACTTTTGGGAATGATTTGAAAGATGAGATATGGCAAAATAACCCAGCAGATAAATGAACAAATTGTAAATAACTTTCAGACAATCCAAATTTCTTTGCATCTGCCTATTTTATTTAATTAATTATTTTCATACCAGAATCTCAGCATTAATTTATAGAGCATAATGGAAGGAAAACAGAGACCAGCCTTAACAGTAATGGCCAATGCTTTGTATTTCAGTTGAGTATATCTGTGGTAACCTTGCTGAAGTCTATGTGGACAAACTACTGAGTTATATTTCTACAGAGGTCGAAAAGTCACGTCACATAGAGTTTTACCTGCACTGGGTAAAACATCTGCTTTACCAACAGGGCCCTAGACTGAAACAGCGATCTTTATCAATCATGGCAACGCTCACAAATTTGCAGAAAAATCTAACTAGGAAATATGAGGATCTGTCTAAAATGTAAGTAGCCAAGAAATTCTTGTGTATTCTCTTTTTTATTGTACCAAAATGCAAGGAAAAGGGTAGGAAAATCATTTAACGAAGGCGCGTTTTGGGTGATGCACAATAAACCAATTGTTTTATTATTGTACATTGTTACTCCCCTTGCAGAAACTGTATAATATGCTCTACTTTCTGTTTTTATTTAAGGGCTGATTTTAACAAGTACACAATGCAGTTTATAACATCCATGGCAGAAACATACATACTGCGGCCAGCGGCAGACGCTCAGGAAGATGCTAGTGCAAATATGTCAGATCAGGAAGAGACTGTTGCTGATTTAAGTGATTCTGATGAAGACATTCTCAGTACTATTAGACATGAAAATGTTGTTGCTGAATCAGACAGTTCTGAATCTATGGAGACTTGATAGGGGATTAGGGGATCTTAATTTTAAAAAATTCTCTGTAGCAATGATAAAAAAACAATACTGAATAAAGAGCAGAAAATGGAAGAATGTGTCTTTTATATTTATTTTCAGGTGTGGTATACCACATATTTGTTGGAGGACATTAAATTTTTTATTTTATGAAAGAACTTCTGACCAGTAATCAATAAGATGGCTTTTTCCATTATTGGTCTGAAGAGGAGACCAGACTAGAGTTCATGTACCTCCCACCAAGGCCTCAATTATATTTCTATAGAGTAGAAAATGCCAGATAAATTTCCTGTTACAGTTTCGCAATTTCAGACCACATCTGCAGGTCACTATTTATCATTTAAAGGTGCAATAATTAGTGCAGAGGGGTCATTCAACGATCATGAACCAGTGTCAAAATATATTGAAGTTTGGATATTTCATCAAGACAAACATCTATTTTTATTATCTTCAAAAAAATCCCCTAGATAAACATTATTTTAGCTGATATTCCTCTTGAAACATGGTGGATCTTAAAATTATAAAAGTGGAAGTCCCCTTTTTGAAGCTTTGAACTGAATTTACACTTCTTAATGCTGAAATTGATAATTTATCCATACATTTTCAGAAAATAGGTATGTCAAAGAAGATGTTAAACCAAATGTTGCCTTGATAGCTCAGATAAAATGAAAAAACTCCTATTTTCTCTACAGTCCTTATTGCCCCTTTAAGACCTGCTTTGCATCTAAATTACTACTTTACAAGCTTTGCAATTTGGACTCTTACTTAATTGCTGGCATAGCCTGGCCGTTTTGAATTTAAGATAAGGAGGGGTTTCCCCTCTTGAAAACAAGAAGCTGAAAGTGAGGCTTACCAAGAGGGGATTTTGCCTCCCAAAAAGTCATAAAAATGTTCAGCCAGCTTTTAGCTTTTCAAAAATTCCAGCAGGGGTTCACCTGAACTTTGGCCTAAAATCAATTGAAAAGTGCTCAGAATGGTGAAACACTGCATGCTTTTGAAAGAATCTTTGGTCTCAGGGGACCCCCCTCTCCAAATCCCCCTGGCTACTGGCCTGATGTTGATGCAGTTTGAATGTTTCTGTTCAGATTGAACATTTACCTCAGTAAGTAAAAATCAAAATGCTTTAAAAATGCACGTACAAAACACACATTGTCAAACATATCCTTGTTTGTTCAAAAATCAATTGGAGATAATACAGCCAATAATGTAATCATGTACTATCCTATTCCCATGGGCTCTATCAGGTGGTAGAGCCCATGCCTATTCCTGAACATGGAGGATAAAAATGTTTTCTAGCTTTTAATAAAAAACAAAGTTATGTCCCCAATTTTTTGGTTTGATTATGAAACATGTTTATGTCATGGTCATTTTAATTAAAGATATACATAAAGTTATTTTTAGGCCTCTGAGTGGAGAAGTGTTTCATGATTTCAGTGTACATTGTTGTGAGTTGTAAACCATAGATCTATTTTTTAAATGTTAAAGGTTCAAATTGTATTCTATTCAAATTATATCACTGTTAAACTATATATATATGCTTTAAATAGGCTTATTAGCCTTTTGCGGATTATTGATGTAGATGTAAACAGCCCCCTTAATTCAAACTCTTATAAAATGGTTTCTAACTAGTTCAATATATCTATTGCACACTGTCCGCATTCACCTTGAACCAACCACAGGTAAATCATAAATCAGGTCTTAAAACATGGGGAGAAACTTATTAATAATGTGATTTTCTCTTGTAATACAATCCCAAAAATCCTAATATCATAACATGTCTGTTAAAGTACTAGTAGAATGTGAGAAGCTCATTGAAATCGAGCATTTGTACCAATTTGATTAAAATGTTAACACTATTCTTACGATTTATGAATAAAAAAGACCTGATTATTTAAAAATCAAGGTATGTAATTTTACCGCTGAATCACAAATCTATAAAATTAAAATGGACTCGTTAATGCTGAAAGTCTTCCTGCTTCTGTTGCCGTTTATTAAAGCAGCAACTGTTAGTAAGTATATCTTTGATTCTTGATTAGTTTCTGAACATACCTGTAACTTCAAAGCCATAGATTATTCATTTTAGATCTAATGAACCCGGAAATGAAAAAATTGCTCAGTTCTTGATTTTATTTTTATACCTGTACATCAGTTATAAACGATGAAGGAGAATAATTAGAAAGTCTAGTATAGCATTTTTCTACCTCTCCAAAGTTTCCCTAGAGTCTACCGAAAGACAGTAGTTCGGCCGTAGGTATTTAGCCGCTGAACTTGCTATTTGAGCAGAATATTATTTCCATTTCTTGAAAATTAGTTCACATCCACATTTACAGTAAAACAAAAATTTTAAATTAATTAATTTTAAAACGAAAATATTATATAATAGATTTTTATCAATTGAAATTTTGGGTTTATTAATTTAGTTTTTTAGCCCCTCTAGTTTCAATCAAGGACGTCAACCAGGTTGACGTCCTTGCTTCAATCAAGTATAGTTGTGGGGGTGATTTGAAAAATCAATCCCACATTTATGGGGGTAATGTAGGTCCAGTAATGTACAGTAAAATTTTAAATGTTAGTAACTACTTTGAGTTTAAAAAATAAGCAATCATAGGACCATATTGAAGCAGTATGTGTAAAAATAGAAACATTTATACATGTCCCAACTTTTGTATATTTTAGTTTGTGTTGTAGTTTAGCTATCATATCTGTGCCCTCTTATATTTTGATGCTTCTCCGCCATGTTATTTTCGGAAAAATTAACATGGCTGAAACTCCCTAAATTACAAAAGGCCACAGCTTTACTGCACATTATACATAACTATCTGAAATATACAAAAGTTAGGACAAGTACATATGTTTCTATCTTTTTATATACTGTTGCAATATAGTCATTTGATTGCTTATTTTTTAAATTCAAAGTAGATCATTTAAAATTTTACTGTACATTACTGGACCTACATTACCCCCATAAATGTGGGATTGATTTTTCAAATCACCCCCACAACTATACTTGATTGAAGGAGGGGCTAAAAAACTAAATTAATAAACCCAAAATTTCAATTGATAAAAATCTATATCCGCATAAGAAACCGTTGGTGTTTTTGGCATTCCTAAACATGGGCGTAGGGCTATATTTTGAGTTGGTACGTACTCTCGGGGATGCCTGATTGCGTGGCCGAAGGTCGTTCATCGCAGGGGGTCCGGGGGTATGCTTTTCCGCGAATTTTTTTTTCAAGGACGTTGTTTGATGGAACAATAAATTCGCAAATAAATTAATGCATTTTAACACATTTATAATTTTTTCAAATTCATTTGGTACGCCTGTGCATGTTTTGCGTAATAGGCGCTACGCCCATGCTAAAGCATGCTGTATGCTGTATCATAGCCCCCGGGAACATGTATAAAAAATCTTGTCGACATCTGTATTACTTATTATTAAAAGTAATAAGTAATACAGATGTCGACTCGTTTTTTTATACATGTTCTTGGGGCCTATGTTCTGTATCAGTAACCAAACAGGTAAACATTAATAAATAAATATATGTAATTGTTTTGCAGCTGATGCCCTCCTTTGTTACAAATGTACATACATCAATTTCTACACTGATGAGAACGCACTCAAGGAGATATCCAACCAACTCTTGGCAAGAAGTCAACAAGCGTGCCAGTTTAATAATGAATATGACGACAAACATGCAGTGGAGAAGGAGGGTTGTAGCTATGCACCATCCGGTTATGTCAATAAATGTCTAAAACTAGAATCTAAAGTTACGGCATCATTCTTAGGTATGTAATTACTAAGTGATGATATTTTGAAAGTTTGGGGTTCAAAGCATGATGATGGGTCACATGATTGGTGGATTTTTATTCTTTAACCCATTTTCATATAAAATAACTTATAGCGTAGGATTCATTTATCTATGCAGTATATTATAACAAGTTTTATTATGATTAATGAATTATCCACAATTTGAATTCTGCACTTGTTACCATACAACCAACAAATTTTTCTACATTTCAATATTGTCTTCTTTATATTTAGTAAAACAAATTATTCCTTATTTCATTATGTGTCCTCTTTATCTTTGAAGAAAACAATATTCTATTTGTCAAAATTTGTTGAAGAAATTTATTCCACATTTCATTTTTGTCGTCTTTAAATTCAAACTATTTTACATTTCAGTAGTTGTCCTCTTTATATAAGAAGTACAAATTTGACAACATTTCAATATTTCTCCTTTTTATATTCAATGGATAAATCTACATAATGATATCTTATTAACTTATTGGTTATAACACTGTGTTCTAATTTATTCATGCGAGGCACTTATCAAACAGATGAATTTATATTTAAAGGACACATTTTATCAGTATCATCTTTTCTATCATAGAAAAGCAAATTATTTCACTGACTTATTGGTTATAACTTTGTATTCTTATTAATCCATTTTAGGCAATGATTATTCATTTGACATAATAAAGAGAGGATGTGTCCAAGTCACTGATGAAGGGCGGTGGAAAGGGAATGGATGTAAGACCGACCCGGGAGAAGATTTCATAAAACAAATCACAGATGATGTTGAAAATCTACATGTAAAAGGTATTACAGGAAGGACATGTTATTCCGAATGGGAATTATCTAATAGTGGCTCATTGTTGACTGTTTCCATAGCAACTGTTGTGTTGCTATTAGTTACTGGAAGGCTAGTGATGTAGATTGGCATTCTGAGTGCAGTAAATACAAAAGTGGAGTAAGCAGCAAATACCCTGTCCAAGAGTTAACAATATTTCGAAGATAAATATGACATGGCTCACAATTGGTTAATGTCGATGTGATACACTTAACATCCAACAAATAATGAGAACTCAATATTTACTCCATAAAGAATCAAGACTCTCATAGTCTAAAATGAAGCGCATATAATCACAAACGACCAAAGGCAAGGAAACATAAATATCACACACAAGGAAATGTGAAAACATATCATTTTGATCAGCAGATAATTATTTCAATAGATTGTTAGCAGTGCAAAGTACTACTACTAGTAAATCATGGGATGGAGATGCAGCAAAATGGATCTCCAAAATTGTTAGAGGCTAGAATATTACTGTATTCTATCCACATAAAATAAAACTGAAGTATTGTATTTGCAATTTGCTCTGATGTTTGTATATCCAACCATTCTTTCTCCATCTTCGACTCATATGCTCAAAATTGAATACAGTGAAACCTGTAAGGTTAAACATCTTTAGAAGTGGAACACATGTGAGTGGAACACTTTTGGGAGGTACCATTGGAGTTCCACTTAAACAGGTTTTACTGTACATGCATACATGTAAATTCCATGCATCCTGATTCCTGATCTACTCATGCTTTAACTCCTTATTGCATTAGCTTAACCCTGATATAAACGCAGTGATCTCCCCAGCATTAAACAAAGTGGGCGCACCCACCTGAAAATCCTTTTGCACCCAGTTAAAAATGAGAAAAATCATGAAAAATTGGCATATTGTGACCAAATTTGGTCTGAATTGTGAAAATTAGAATTTTGCACCCACCTGAGAAACAGTCCTGGGGAGATCACTGTAATGTATGATATAATATACTTGTACATTTGTAGTTTCAAACAGCCATTATTCACTTGGTGCTATTGGATTATTTAGAGATTCTTTAATGGGTTCTTGTATTAAAGGTTCCTCATTCTGAAGTGGGAATAGAGGGCATAATATGATAATGTACTGCTGCACTTCTATGGATGCTTATAGTACATAAAGAATTACCTTCAAGTGAATCGTAAATAAATTAATCCTTTACCAGAATAATTAACTTTCCTAGACAAATGATCTCTATGTAATCCAAAATGGTTGTTATAGAGTTAGTTCCTTTAAAGTTGTATCAAAAAATTGTGGATAAAATGTCATTTTTTCTCTTGTATGTAGTTTTCTAAAGAACAGTACATGTTTTTATTAAATAAGCAATAATTTTCAAATTTTGCAGTTAAACTGTTCAACTTATATATATTATCAGGAGATGTGATTAAGTGTCATGTTCTTGTTACATTACAAGTGATAAAAACTGGCATAAATCCTATGTACTGTATACACGGTGTCCAACCCAAACACTCTTACATGCATGATGAAGCGTTTCATTAGCCGCCATTTTATTTCGCTCCACAGCGTTTTTGCATGAATGAAACGCTCTGTCGTGCATGTAGCAGTGTTTGGGTTGGACACCGTGGTATATAATATCTTTTTATGATGGAGAAATGTAAGTGTATTCTTCAGGCATACAATGTTATTTATATTTATACGTCAAACCAACTGTTCTACAAATTAAGAATGAAAATGGCTGTTTATTTTTTATTTCGTTTGCCGTAAATTGTGTTGCCTACTTTTGGATTTTAAATTACAAACATGGTAATGTTTAATAATATGTAGAAAACGTGTAAAGCTTTAGATTCCAAGCCCAGAAAAGATCTGATTTTGTAACTATTTCCAGCATTAGACTATTTATAGTATATGTGTTTTTTACACAAACTATTTCTTATTTTAGATCTGATGTATTTTACAACCAACCCTGTATTTTAGAAGCATTTTTTGATTGAGATCTGATTTATATACTTGGTATGTGAATTACAGTCTTCACTACAGCCCAATTTAAGACCATTTACATAGGTTAATTACCTACATGATTATCATGTTTCCTGTGGACTACTCTCTGGACTGAATGGAATAAATCAGTATTAAACAGTTCAAATGAAATAAACAGCCAGGGTTTGTGCGGTTGAATTAAGTCTGCTTGTTAATTTGGCTTATGAGTCATTACTTTTCATTACATTTAACTTTTTTATTGTGATTTTTGGAGACATTTTGGAAAAAAGATCTGAGAGTTACATATGTTGTAACTTGTGCCAGTCAACAGGGACATTTTGGTTATATTGTTAAATGTAGATTTCTTTGTTAAGAATAAATGTAGACTGATTTAATCGGAGTGTTTTCAGGCAAAAACAGTCCAAAGAAAAGCCTCTACTTCTAGGCAGCACCTCTATTAATTTGTGTGCCAATTACCCGTTCTCTCTCTGGGCTGTACATAAACCTGATTTATACTCATACCAACTACAGTTTATGTAGTTATAAAAATGCCAATTTCATTGTGAGAATAATGTGTATACTAACTCATCTAATATATGCTGTACATAAAATAACATTGTCACATGACATTTTTTATTACTATTCAGGGAGAAACACTACACAACATTCCAAACATTGTGCAACATCTGAAAACCTCTGGGACCAACCGAAAATGTTTGGATTGGCAGGGGTCCACATTTAAAAAATTTGTAAAAAGAAAAATGCCAATGAGAAAAATAAATTTGGGACTAAGAAAAGTGTTCACATTTAGAGGTGTTCAGATTAGAGAGGTGTTCAGATATCTATTTCATTGTATCATTTTGCCTGAGTGTGCTTACATTCCAAAAATGTAGTATTATAGATAGCTTGATTTTGGCATCTCTTAGCAAGTGAGTTCATCACAATTTTATGTTTAACAATGATGTCATAGATGTTAGACAAAATTTTATGTTCACAGATGTTAGACACAATTTTATGTTTAACAATGATGTCACAGATGTAAGACACAATTTTATGTTTAACAATGATGTCATAGATGTAGCTAGCGATGAGGCACTTGATGCCTCACCAAACTAAAACATTTTTATTCAACTTTTTTACTGAAACTGAAAATGTGTCCCATAGTAGTATTGTAAGAGCATGAGGCTCGCTTTTGCCTTGCCTATTCAAATTTGCCTCGCCTCTCTTAATTTTCCTCATCTATTTTAATCTTGGCTGTACCCTTGGATCCCTGATATATTGAAATATGATTATTTAGAGAATAAACGATATAATTTGTCGCAACAAAATGCTCACTAATTAATTTTTCATTTATTTGAACGAAGTTTGAAATTGTATAAATTCAGGAAAATGTATAAAATATATAAATGTAATAGAATTATGCATCTGTATAAAAGCTTTTAGGTAGAATATTTAGATTTAAATTGTATAAACTGACATATACAATAACTCTCAGAAGAAATAGGGCCTCAGAAGGAACAGCTGTGAATGTTTTCGATGATGTTTGCTACACATGTATGTAATAATGGTGCAGACTGTTAAAGATTATGAACCTTGAAGGATGAGTTAAGGTTATAATATGGAAGATCAATGACCATTTGAATAATGTTTAATCCATAAACTTTGACTGAGATATTATAATAGCAATACAGTGAAACCTGTTAAGTGGAACACCTCTACAAGTGGAACATCACTAGAAGTGGAACACCTTTCAGAATCCCAAGACCCACTGACTTAATGTTACATGGACCTCTATAAATGGAACAACTCCCAATACTTAAGAGGTGCCAAAGGTGTTTCATGAAGACTGGTTTTACTGTATTGTTGGCAGAAGGAATATTTTTTGACTGTGCAGATTTATAAAACTCGGTTATAAAGCTTCAGTTGCATGTTTGTTCTGTGTGCCATTTCTTCAAAATATTGTGAATTAAGATTCATGAATACGATTCATGTATATATTCAATCTGTATATTTTCATATTTTACATTAATAAAGTTTTGTATATTAAATTGGATATTGATTTTCTTATGTATTTGTATTCATGCCTATGGCAGACAATATATCACCCTAGATATAGAAACAAGAGTTTGATCGATTTTGATTTAAGACGTTATGTTAGTGACCTTGTTTTATTCAAACCAAGACGAGGAGGATTGGGTCCCAGGTCGATATTTTTAATCTCCAAGCTATTTGTTCATGTGCTGATTTCTACAGCAAAGATGCATAATTTGAAATGCATTTTTGTTTGGAAATTAACCAAAACACACGATTCAAATTTTGAAGATGTGAAAAAATGGTGGCTGTTTAATCTTTTAACCAGTACATGATTCCAGAATATTGAGAATGAATCTTTGGAGCTAGTCTTCCTTCATTACTGTGGACCAGCACCACCCCTATCTACGTCACCAACACAACCCAAAGAAGATCAGGGGGGGGGGGGTCAAGGGTCTTGAACCAAAACTACCTGTGGGAGCTTCATCATCAGCTCTATCTTTCATCCAAGGGGGTTGGAGTCCCAGTGTGCTAAAGCATGCGTTATTAAATTTTAAGAAAAGCCAGAAAGTTTCAGATCAAAAGACCAAATACAAAAAAGTTATCAAATATTGAAGGGGGCACCCGGGGCAGATTTCTCCAAGGCTCATACAAATAAATCATCTGTTTTGTAACATCTATAAATAACTTCTACTAACACACATTGATGCCTAAGATGACATTAATCCAATGAAAAAATGATAATCTGGTATAGCGCTCCTCACACATACATTATTATTATCTATATATTAAAATGAAAAGAATGGGCTTGATTCAAGACTAAAAAATAAAAATAAACTAGATTTTTTGTATTTAAAAGAAAAATTTTATTGTTAAAAAAATATGCAAAAAAAGATTCAAAACATTTCTATGATTTTGATTACATACGAATAACAGAAAAGTAAAGTTCATCAATACATAATAAATTTAACAATATGTTGTATGTACAAATAAAATCTTTACAAATACTAATCTAGTAAACAAATATTAGAATCATTAAATGGCATTTTTAAAACCTTGATCCAAAATACTAGATCTGGTATAATGTTCCTATCAATAAATACTGCCTGATAATTTTTATTTAAAAATGACAAACTCACTGTGCACTACATGAGTGTACATGAAGTTTGTGTTGAAATGTGGTAAATACATGTAGTCTAAATACTCTAGTCTAAATATAAAATTTTGAATGATAATATTGCACATTTTCAATAATATAAATGAAGCCAATTTTAGTCACAGTTTTAGACTAATTTTTAGTATTTTGATCAAAATTTTTCTCAATTTGGGATCAGGGGTCAGGGGATCAGTTTTGAAGATTTCATAAATTGGAACTCATGATTTAGTTCAATTATGATTCAATATTATGACAAACTGCCCCTGCATAAAATATTTCATATTTGTATGTAAACTTTACTACATAGATATTGAAACTTGAGACTATACATGACTGTAGTCTGTTACATCACATAATGCTTGACTTGTGTACAATTACATTTCTGTTTCTCAGAAAACATCCCAACTCATAGATCAAAAAGATCAAAAATAGATCATAGATCAAAAAGCATGAGCATTGATCACACTGTGTCCACAGATTATAAGATCACATTTTCTATTCATTGATCATAATGTCTTTGCATAGATCATAATGTTAATGCCTAGACTGTGATGTCTATGCATATATCACATTGTTTATGTATATATCATAAGTTTTGTGCATTAATCATATTTTTTGATTTGACACCTTCTCGCCTCATGACGTTTGACTCCTACATGCAGAATGTCCGACACCAATTGTAATGAGCTTAGCAAGAGGGGGAGAAACCCCAGAGTTCAAAGATGACATACGCTTATAATGTAAATCTGTATTGAGATGACATCGTCGCTGATTGGTTTAGCGAGTCGATCGTTGATTAGTTTAAAAGTAGGTCAATTTGAAAACTTTGAAAACCAAGATGGAGGGGAAACAAGTATACGTAAAGGAGGTGCACGAAGGAGGAAATCGTATGTCATCAATTGAATCATGGGGTTTTCCCTCCTCTTGAGCTTAGCACAAGCAAGGAAGACGGTGATGAGGAATAGTCGGTGGCCAATCAGGATGCATCAGGAAGTCACCTCTATTTGCTCGCGGATGCTTCAATGTCACACCAGCTGAACGACGCATATTTTGCGCATCAGTATGTTTAGCGCTGCTATAAGTCTCTAATGGCTTAGCATTGGGATCATTGATGTTTGTACGACCCCATGGTGGTTGGACTCTCCATCCTGTATGATCCATGACTGGATTGGTGGACTGATCATGAATATATGTTTGGCAATGTCCCCGATGATAGTCACCATTTTGTTTCTGGGATGATTTATCAATAGGGGCAGTGTAGCCACCATATGTTCCCATAGACCCATATTGTCCTGGTTTTCGGTATTGATCTAGAGCATCTAGTTCTACAAAAAGAAACAGTACATGTGCATATATATTTAAAATCACATGGAGTAAGCATATAGACATGTAACCATATCACCTATATATCTATTGTAATAGTATACATAATGTAAACTGAAAGTATTCATTGGAGAATGCTATTTTGAAGTTTCTTGAATACTATGATGGCTTAAGGGATTGTCTCAAAGTTTCAAATTAGAAAAGTAAAATTTTAACATAATCAGTTCAATCATGAGGTTTTTTGGTTGTTCTAATAGTAATAACTAGACCATCCGCAAACACTTGACAATGAATCACTATTTGAAAGAGAAATATTCTTTGGTGAAAAAAATTAACCTTAAATAATTTTTAATATAATGTCTTATTTAACAGACTGATCTTTTACAATTTATCTATTATTATTAAGTGATGACTAATGAAAAATGATCTTAAATCATAGTCTTGCTTCAAGACCCGGGACCCCCCTCCTATCTTCTTTTCATTGGCATGTAATGTGTTGAAGAAGTAAATAGGGGGTCCACAGTCTTGACGCAAGACTACTTAAATCATATAATAAATAAATTTTAAGAAAAAATGAAGAACATTGCATTACAAACCTCTAGGGCCTGCAGTCTTCAGATATCTATGAGTGGAGGCCTTGGGTTGAGGAGCTAATGGATTCTGCCAGTTCTTTCCTGGTCCACTGTTAGCCTTAGCTTCTCCTAACTGCATGATATGGTCCTGGTCTGAAGTGTACAAGATCTTTGTTTAATAACATATTACAGTAAACCCTGTGTAAGTGAAGCACCTTTGTCTAAAAAGTTTTCCACTTGGACAGTGAGTGTTCCTCTTAAACAGTTAAAGAGGTTCATTTAACATTAAGTCAGTTGGTATTGGGACTCTGAAAATTGTTCAAGACTTTTTGTTCCACTTTACAAGTTTCACTGTACTTCAATCGCCTATTTATTAAATTTCAAATTGATAAGGTAACAGTAGGTCACTAGAGGCAATGAGAAAATATCTACAGAAGAAAGATGTTGAGACCTGAAGTAAATAATGTAAAGGTAAGAATAAGTCTAAACTTAAAATTGGAGCAATTTAAGAGAATAATTCTGCAACAGATACATCCATCATTCTAGGATCCTACATGTAGGTAATTTTATTTCTTAAAAAGCCCACCTTCTTTGTCCACCATCTGCATCATTGCATCTAGACCCTGAGCATCTCTTCCGGTCACACCCATTTCTTTAAAGTCTATTTTCTTGTCATACTGTCGTCTGGCTTGTGCGCTCTGAAGGGGTGTGTACTTGCTACGCAGCGATGCACGGCTGGATTGAACTTCACGCGAAACAGAGGGATCAACTGGAATATATGAGTGCAAAATTAAAAAAATGAAATAAATTGAATTACTGAGAATAGGAATGGCACAAACATAAATTATGATGAATTATTTGAAGCGCCTCTCATTTTCATACATTATATGCAGTACATATAAAAATCTGTAAACTTTGAAAATATTTGCAGATGAATACTAAGATTATGATTGAGAGATAATGAAATTCAACAAGGTATTAACATGCAAAATGTCACCACCTGTCATTTGTTTCAGATGCCAAACACCAAACACCATGTACAAGAGTTGGAGACTATAACAATATGTCACCACTTCTGGTAGTGACATAAAAATACAAAAAGTGACATTTAAGAGGTAATTCTGTTGAATGTGAAATTTACAATTGACAAGTGTTGTGAACATGTAAAGGTGATGTGGAGCATGCATATCCTAATAACAAAATAACATGTACTAATAACATAATGCCATTTACAGCTCTAGTATCTATAATAATTATAGGATATCCTATGATTTAGAGGAATATCATTTGTATCTACGAGCTGATATTGATATCGACACAAGAGAGCTAGGTGAACGAGTGCATATATCAATATCACCAAGTAGATTAAAATGATATTCTGAAAAAATCATCTGGTAGGATGTTATTATCCCACACTTACTAATAGTGTACTAAATGTATGATATCATTGAAAATTAAATTTAATGTCAAATAGTTAAATTTGGCGGGAAATCAACAAGTGTAGTATATCGTCCGCATATTGGCTTTCCGGAGTATATTGTGGTGTATCTAATACTTGAGTGGGGTTGGGGTAGATATCACCCGGGAATATATATCGTATCTGAGGAGTGGGCAGGATATATTGTATATGTCCCGCTCCAGGCCAAATGCGGGCAGATATAATATATCCATCCCGCTCCCGGGAATTTTTCAAAAGTTTAAAAAAGTTTAAATATCAAAAGTTTTAATTTTTTAGTTTAATTTTTTTAAGTTTAAATGTTACCATTTCATTGTATTGAACAAAAAGAATATTACGAAAATGTTAAATATAAATATCTTGTCATTTGAAAAAGGTGGAAAGGTTATATCTACCCTAAACTCACTCAAGTGAAGATATATTGTATATCCCTCGGGATATTCCCTGTATCCAAAACCTCCCAGTGCATAACCCCTATATATCCCAGGCCCGTAGCCAGGATTTGCCAAGGGGGGGTTCAATTTTCAAAAATTTCCAGGGGGGGGTTCACAATTGACAATTTTGGCCCAAATTAGGCTAAAATCACTTGAGAAGTGCTCAAAATGGTCAAAAACTGCATGATTTTGAAAGAATTTTTGGCCAGGGGGGGGGGTTCACCCGAACCCTGCGAACCCCCCCTGGCTACGGGCCTGTATCCTCCAGTTATTCATTTTGCCAATAGATATCAAATTTATTTTCTAATGTTATTATACATTTAGTACACAAAGTGTAGGAAGCATATCATATATATGATTGGCCTAATGATTAAATATAAATATGATTAAATGCATAATAAAATAGATTTTAAATGATTTAAATACCCAAGAATTAAATAACATATACATACGTACATATATATTTTATAGAAAAGGTTATATTTTGAGTGTGTGTATGGGAAAAGCTAAGAGGGGATGGGGTGGACCGGGTACATGCATGTTGTAGATCAAGGTATGTGCTATCAATTATTAATGTAATATTACCAATGGGTTCCAAAACTGTTCCTGTGCTTGCTCCTGAGTGAATAAAATAATATTTCTAAATACTCAAGTTATTACCACAATTGCCTGTTGTTTTTGGGGAACTTTGCAAACTGTCAATATTGAAGTTATAATTTACAACAATTTTTGCTTGCTGTTGTTTTCATTTGTTTTACCAGTTAGGCATTCTTATGAATGTATCATAATTCTTTCAAAAACCAAGTGTATAATAGATAATATAGAGAAAAGAGGAAAAGTTGAGATAATATAGAGATAAGAGAAAGAATATGACTTACTTTTATAGGTTGGTTTCCCCAATGTGGCATCTGGGTTATGATATCCTGGAATACTGTGCAGTCTGGTTGTCAAAAATACACTGAAACAAAAAATTATGAATCTTAGATAGTGATTTGAATGTATATGCATCTGAGGCATCAGAACAGATGGTCATTCTAAAAAGTTTCTATGTGTAAGTACCTTGGTAAACAGAAAGTGAAAATGGTAGGGTTGGGTTTTCATTTCAGGTCAATCCCCACTAGAGTGGACTGACTTTTTCACATCAACCCTTAGTGCAGGATTTAATCCTGTGTTTTCATTATCGATACTATGGTGCTTCATATTCTTTCAATATGTTATGTGAAACAGAATTGGAATGGCGAAATGTAAAACGTCAAAAATATTGACCATTCAAAGTAAACTAAATAAATATTGCATTTTTTAAATTAACATAGAATTTGAAAAGTGTTAAACCACAGGTTAAATGACACTTAAATAGCCTAATAGTTTTACACTGAAATATAAAGATAAAGTTGTAAACCTACTGCGGAGGATGAGGCTTGTTCTTTCTCTCAGCTGAAGTTGGTCGATTGTACTGCCACTCATCTACATCCACACTTTTATCATTGTGAAAGTTCCCATAGGTTGTCTGTTCCCTATCTGGCTGCATCCAGACGTCTCTGGCATTTTGTCTGATTCTTTCAAATTCAAAATCGTGACCTGCATTTGTTAGATCAATTTTGTCTTTCAAAGACTGTGCACCGACATCCGGTTCCACGTGAGCTCTGTGAAACTTTGACACTGAGTCTCTGTAGCCTGGTAGAATATGTCCAGTTGACATGGTTCGTTGATTATTAGCGTAAACTTAGACAGAGAAAGTTATAGACACGAAGCAATATTTTTCTGTCGCACCTGGCAACTAGCCGGATCCGGAAATTTGTGTTAATTAATTTTGCGCATGCGCAGTAGTCAGAGTTAAAAGTATCAAAAATAAGAGTGATATCAAAGTAGACATGAGCCCAAGAAGGCGGGATAACCACAGGAAGTTGTATTAAGTCCTTTTTGGGCCCTAGCGGCCTTCTGCCATCCCCCAATCTCACACAACAGACGAATCTATAGATATCTATTGATATTTTCATTTACAGTTGGGGACATAAATAAATGACAGGTGCAGGGGCGTAGGAAGGTGTAAATTGAACACTACGCCAAAAATCCTGCCAAAAAAATATGAAACAATTGTGTCAATATTCTATATCAAAACGCCTATATTATGCTCGTAAAACGTCATTTTATGGTAACAGAGATTTCAAGCTTGCAATATTCACAACCTAAATGTGAACGGAAATACTTAAGCGATGCATTTGTATGGGCGATTGGTCATACGTATAGGTTGGCGTTTCGATTTCATATGCAAGCTTTAAATCCCCGATACCTTTTTAATGTGCTTTAAAATGTTCGAATGATTTTCATCATTTAAAATCACCTTGGAAAGCCTATCTTTTAAATCTCGACACAAATCATTCTCACTTTGCTAATATCTCGAACGATTGAGACGACCAATTTCCAAAAAACAATTAGAGATTTTTAATCATTTTCGAATAATTGAATTAAGATCTGAAGATATATAGTATTGTCGGATTCCATCGTGTAGGTCTTACCGTGCAATACAATACGTACAGATTAAAGAAACTAGTTTGATCAATTGATATAAAGAAACGCATTCGTGATCAATGAAACAAATAAATGCACCCACCACAAAGGTCAAATCGAGGTCAACGTGACTTAGGGGATGCCAAAAAATGTTATAAAACAAGAATCTATTATTTGTCAAATGAAAAAAACTAGGTTATCGCTTTTCTAGAACTGAAATCAATGGAACGTGTAATTGAATAATCAGCATTTTCAAGTTGTTTTTGTCTTTAACATCCATATTTCAAAAAGTACTACCAATAACAATTAGTGATTTAGTAAGAAAATAGATAATTGTTGACTTAACTATAATTTCGTGTCTATGATTTTGCATAGCAACGGAATATAAATCGATAGTGAAATTGAAAAATTGGGGTAGGGGAGAATAAAAAAATATACATCTAAATTTAAAGAGGTTCATCATTATAATTATATGATACCATAGTTAGCATAAGCATTACGGAAAATGCAGAAAAAATGTCAAAGGTATTCATCAAGTAGTTTTTGAAAAAACAGCTTTCCTCTCAAATTCGTGAAGAGAACGCGATTCACGAATATTTGGCGAAATTGTATTTATAAGACAGTCAATAGTGGCTCGATTTTCATGAAATAAAGCATGTTGGTAAGGGAATTCAATCTGTTAAATGATATTTGCCAGACAGACTGATATGGTATTCACAAAACATTTCTTTAGGCTAGTGTGCTCGAGATTACTTTTACAATTTAAACAATGAGAAAATATGACTAAAGAACATAGGAAAGTTAAAAAAAACTTTTTTATTCTCACTTTTCAACACTACGCACTGGCGTTTTGGCGTACATTGTTCCTACGCCACTGAGGTGGATTTGCTGAAGTGAGGATTTCCCATGTTAAAAATAAGAGAATTTACAAGAGGCCATAAATCAGTGGATGAGATTATACAAAATGTAAGATATACACATTTTAAGGGATATGTATCTAGACAATATTTGAAATTATGGGCTTTCAGACCACCATAATTAGGAAATGGTGATCGAAAATCGACCTGTCATTTATTTTTGTCCCCAACTCATGTCTCCTTGAAATCTGACCTCAATATGTATCTACTATTTTGTTGCCTTAAGGAGTCGCATCCTACCTACCAAACTAATCAACAAAGCACTCAGGCAGGTTCAATAATAAATTTCCTGATATCGAGCTTGGAGCTTATGACCACTTAAAGATAAACCAGCTCTTGAAATATAAAGAGCTATATGTACAGGCTCATGAAAATAATGAGCTACAAGCTCATGAAAATTAAAGAGCTGTCAGCTCCTGAACATTTATAAGCTGCAAGCTCATGAGTAATAACCAATCGCAACATTGAACTAACTGGCAGTTCGTACTCTAGCTTTCCAATTATATGTTAACATTGCGGCTTACTTTATGTCCAGTATCCGACCTGAGTGCTTTTAGTCTCATTCATTCATACTTTTTCTGTTCTGTGAGGGGCCACACCCGGCCTGCTATCCGTTACTGTACTTCCCAGAGGGTGGATGGGTGGGAACTTTTCTACCCAAACGTTATATTAGAATAAATCAACTTACCCTCAAAGATTGCTAGATTGCCTACCACTGAAATGTTATCATTCCCGCCTCGTGCAGAATTGAAAAAGGTCCAGCATGCATTGCATCTTCCGGAACTCAACTTCCGGTGACGTCACTGAAAAATCTCAACAAACTTACAATTATCTCATATTACCTCAACGTCTAACTTGGTAAGTAGGAAGCGTCATCTTCAGGCAACATAAATCATTATATTGAGCATATAATACATTTATGTCTCCTTGAAATCTGACCTCAATATGTATCTACTATTTTGTTGCCTTAAGGAGTCGCATCCTACCTACCAAACTAATCAACAAAGCACTCAGGCAGGTTCAATAATAAATTTCCTGATATCGAGCTTGGAGCTTATGACCACTTAAAGATAAACCAGCTCTTGAAATATAAAGAGCTATATGTACAGGCTCATGAAAATAATGAGCTACAAGCTCATGAAAATTAAAGAGCTGTCAGCTCCTGAACATTAATAAGCTGCAAGCTCATGAGTAATAACCAATCGCAACATTGAACTAACTGGCAGTTCGTACTCTAGCTTTCCAATTATATGTTAACATTGCGGCTTACTTTATGTCCAGTATCCGACCTGAGTGCTTTTAGTCTCATTCCTTCATACTTTTTCTGTTCTGTGAGGGGCCACACCCGGCCACAACTTTGATTTATCAAAGTGCCCCCACCGACAGAAATATGTTACGAAAACATGAAGCCTATGTAAGAGAATAACTAATTTATTTATATAAACGACATACTTAAAAAAATGACCTGTTTAATAATACATATAACTCTCGTATAACACACAGCAAACCCAGAATCCCCCGATACACTCTAAGGAGCCTGCCTTCACCATGCTCTCCCCCTACATATCACAACATTAGACAATGATCATATATGCGTACCTTGAGCTGACTGGAAACCACAACTGACCACCAAAATAACCCGATACACTCAAGGAAATCGCAATCAGCTGTAACCTCCAATCAGCTCCTAAAGTTCATCTCACTGATATTGATAACCTAGATAAATTGTGTACATTACAATGACTACATTTTATGAACACCGCAAACCCCGAACTCCCCGATACACTCTCAGGAGCCTGAATTCGTGTGCCAACTCTCCATAAATCACTACATCTGAATCTTAACAATTATGATAAAGTTCACACCACTGTCTAACTGGAACCCACAATCCACCAACACCAACCCGATACACTCAAGGAAAATATTGGTCAACTGTAGATTCCATTCAGCTCTCCTAAACCAAACTTGTGCAGGCTGACACTTTACCACATTTCCGGTTTCCCATATCAACCTCAATACATGTAATATCAATCTAGTAGAATAAAGTATCGACCTCGGTCTTTATCGTAAATATTTTTTTAAAGCTGAAAATGACTTCCAGCGACCTATTTTCATGATCTGAATTTCAGAAAGTCCTTCTTGTGCTAACCATGTAGTCCCCCCTATCCTAAAGCTATGTGGTTTTATCATATCTTGGGCACAATTAAGGTTCAGAAGCACTTTAGCTAATACAGATCTAAATCTTCTTGCAGAAACTGCGTTTCCTTTCTCAATGAACAACGGACCCTTAGCCGAACCCCTCATTTCCAAGTACTTAATCAATGACATGACTGGACAAATGGGCACAACCCCAGCCTCAACACGCACTCTGCTTGTGTGATCACTATGTTTAAACGTATCAAACCTTATGCTAATATATTTGTTGGTAACCAGTTCAATATTATTAATCTGCAAGTTATGTTGTCCAGAACCGGTCATTTCTCCGATACGCAATAACCCAAAAAAAGCTAAAAGGAACATAGCTGTATAAAGTTGTTGTGACCATTTATCTAAAAAGAGACAAGGTAAAACTTCCACCATAGCTTTTAACAACTGTATTGTCACTGGCCGCCTAGTGTCAACCACCATGTTTTTAGACAACCCTTTAAGAGCCTGTTTAATGATAAAAGTATCGGCAGGATTTTCATATCCCTTGATTTTGTGGTAATATGCTACTGCCGAAATAAAAGTACGAATTGAGGCTGAGGAAAACCCTTGCAAATGTAAATGAGCAATGAACAGTTCCATATGTTGGCTATCAAGCGGAAATATCGAAATGTTTAAACTTTGCCCGAAGGCCACTAACTTTTTCCATGTTCTCTTGTATAAATCTCGTATTGCTGGAGCTTGTGCATTAATAACTAAATTTTTGAATGTAAGTCCCAATTTTTGGGCATTAAGTTCTCCGGAATGATTCTTTCCTGAGCTTGAGGATGTAGCAGCTGAAATCTCTGAAACATATTACGAGATAAAGCGTCAGCAGCAATGTTCTCTACACCAGGTATATGTATCGCCTTCAACAGAATGTTATGTTTTAAACAATGTAAAACTAGCCTTCGCATAATGACCATCACACTTTTGTCCTTTGAAACACCACTATGTAAAATTGAACATACTGCCTCATTGTCTGATCTTATCGTAATTGCTCTATTTGGAAACAGTGAAGACCACAGATGTATAGCAACCATAATCGGAAATAATTCTAATATGACAATGTTTTCCGAGCGCCATTCCACCGGCCATGTTCCTGCAGCATACTCATCGTTACATAAAATGCCAAAACCAATATTTTGGGATGCATCTGTATAAATAGTAGTACCCGACCTAGATTGCCAT